GTTTTCTTTCTCCTGTACCATTTTCTGCTATCAGATATTAGCTTTAATCCACTAAAAGTAACCTTTGATTCAACTGGCTTGGCGGCTGAAAGGCGGGACTTTGTGACCTAGTTGAAGCCGCTTGCGCCCGCGACGCAGTCTGCGCCTCTCCCGCACGCCTGCTCTCTGATCATTACCTAGCCTCAATTGGGTCACGAAGCCCTGCCTTTCAAGCTCCCAAAATCTAATTCTTCCCAAGAATAATGTCATTTGAATAGTGGTAGATGTGAAAATGGACTTCCACTGCTTTTGCATTTATTCAGAATAAAACTGCCGAACTTTATGAGCCACTAGATCTCACTCTCAATATGAAATCAAAACGGTCTATCATACCCCTTGCAGCTCAACTGCACCATCTAAATGGAGCCATACTGCAGAGAAAGAAAGCTCAATTAACAAGCTCAACGGGTTTTTCTGCATGATGAAATACGGCCCCTACGACAAACGTCATCAAAACTGTGGTGCAAGATTTGACCGAGAAGTACGTTAGCATCCAATGTGCTGCTGAGAACTAGCTTCAAAAAATTATCATCTGGCCTGGACTACCGCAAACACATGAACGGCCTTCGCTGCGATTCTGAAGACGACCTCAAACGCTCGTTAGACGGCTTTTCCCAGAGTACCTGAGTTATTGCGCACTGAAAATATGACGGCGAGGTGGCAGAAGGTTGTGCGCAACAACGGAACATACATCATTGGTCGAGTTTTAACAAAATTCTGTCATTTCGTTAATTTATGAAAACTCTACGAACTTGTGAAACGACCAAATGTTATCCGTAGGCAGTGGAGGACCAAGGAGGGGGGGGGGGGGGGGAGGGAGGGGGAGCAATGGGTCGCAAGATTTTTGGAAGTAAATTACATGAGTTTCACTGTGTAATAACTTGTTTAAACTTGCAAATAATAAGAGTAATTTTTTAATTCCTTCAAAATCCTAGGTTACCGTAAAAAATCTTTTAGGAACGTGGCTTGCGCCACGCCTCTTTTTTCTCAAATTTTGGAGCTCTAAGCCCGCAGAAGTTCTGGAAAGCGTCCCAAAAACCTCCTTGGCTAACACCACGGACCTTGATTCAAGAAATGTTTTGTCAACCTCCCCCCCCCCCACCCCTCCGAACGAAAATCCTGGCCCACCGTAGCGGTGCAGTAACCAGAACATTTGCGAGGAAACACATGTCTTCGTGGATGTCGACAACTTGCTTGCGAATTGCGTTTAGAAAATAGGCACAGGGCTCATCTCATACGCACAAATGATGTTGGCAATGCAAGAACAGAACAACATGTTGAGCGTCAAAAAATCAAGCTATGATCACACTGCCACATAGACTGTAAGCTAACAAAATTGGAATACTTGCGTACAAAGCATGCTCAGAAACAAAACATTTTACTATCAAATAAAGGAGGTCTAACTATTGTACAATGAACCAAATTGGAGTGAAAAGTGAGCCTCATTTGTGCTAAAGCCTAGCTGCTCTTCAATATGCACTTTCGATTCATCGCTTGCACTTTTGTTGTGGACATTACACTTCGCTCATTTTTCACTGTAGCGCGAAAATTTTTCCCTTCTGTGTTGTCACAGCTTTTCCATTAATGAAATGAGCTTATAGCCGCAATCTAGCGAGAATATTCACTGTGGAATAAATCTTTCAAAATCGGGAGCTTGCTCGTTTGGTAAGAGTGTCAAGAGATCTTGCGAAGGCAAATCTAAATTTTCACTATCTACTATAAAGCAGTGGTTCCCAAGATTCCCGTTCGGGGGGGGGGGGGGGACATGAATCTTTTTTTCGAATGAAGGTATATGGCCTGAGCACGCATTCCGATGCTTCCTAAATTTTTTGCGGGCCCATAATTCCGGAATTTTAAGAGAAAGACTTTAGAAGCTCTTTGAATTATTTACAAGATAAATAAGTCAACTACGCAATTTTAAAAGCCTTCCTCGGTCTGTCACGGTAAAATACCCTAACTTCACGAGTGCAAAATGCACCGTTTTGATTTTTTCAAGAAGCAAGGAGCAGTGCGGAGAGGGTCCTTTGGTCTCGAAAATTTTCGGTGTATGAGGCGGGCGATTTTAGAAAAAAAAACAGGTGCATCTTGTACTTGTGAAATTGGAGTAGACAACTTTTGATATAAATAAGCTGGACGATAGGTAATTTTTTTTCAAGACGGGAAGATGTCGTTGTGAATGCTACGTTGTTTATCAAAGAGTTTTAAGTTTTTTTTTTGCATCGCTGCGCAACTCCCACTCTGAATATTCATTTGCTGTTCAGTTTGAGATGCAATAATTAGATACCCACTTTCAGTAACTTCTTATTTTCTCTAGTGAGTAGTGAAAGTCAAGATCCCAGGAATTATACATTAATTTTTTCCAAGAACGCTTTCACACACCCAGCAAACACAGCTCGAAAAAATGACACTGAACTTACGATTGAGTACAGTACATTCACAAATGCCAAAACCGTTTATGAAATACACAAAGTACTCTACCAAGGTTAAAACCAAGCACGTGATTACAGCCAAGCAAATCTTCAAAAACCAGCTTTTCTCGGGGTTGCTCTCCCAATTTTTTGCTGACCTAAGATAGGAGGAACTCTGTTGCTACACCTTTTTATTATATTTCGAATTATTGTATGCTAACTGAGGAAAGTTCAGATTTCCCAACCGAACTCATGGCAAGCGGGAGCAAATACAAGTACATGACAAGCCCGCTTGAGACTTGATCACTCGATGGCTGGCACGCAAAATGGAAGAGTTAAGAAAAAATATATGTATTCCTTGGTCTCGTTTCATCATGCTGCTTTGAAGACATTCTTCCGAGTGGAAGGGGGGAGGGAGGCAGCAGAAGGTTTTTTTCGAGCTTGCATTAGCCACTCCTCTGGGATGCCTTCAGGAACTGGGATGCCTTCAGAAAGAGGCGTATGGAGCTTTACTCTCGAGAAGAAATTTTCACAAAATTAATTCGAATTCTAAGAAATTTCAGAAGAAAGAACTAGGCGGGGTAGTAGTGTACGTCAAGTACTCGGCAGAAGACTAGGAAGAAGGAGGAAGGTTGCTTTTCTGCGCTTATGGTCATATACGGTCGCGTGCCTTACTATAGAAATAAGTAGTACATCTTGTATTACAAACAGTGGTGCTGCTCGCAGCATGGGATTTCTCATCGAATACGGTAATACGGTAAATTTCACTGGATGTTGGTGTGTGTCCCAATAGCATGTATATAAAATCAAACTCGTCAAATACAGAATCTGTCTTGCTTTGACTTCAGCGTAGAGGAGCTCCTAATCGGGAAGGCGTAATCCTTATTTTCCGTGGGACATTTTGGAAGCGAAAGCAATTGCTTTCGCGAAGTTAACGTCGATAGCTGCAAACGTTGACGTTTGCAGCCATCGACGCTGCGCTGTCGCGCGCCAACAAACATTCGCGCTCCAACGGCGGAAACACGTCAGAATCAATCCTTTAATTCGAGTTCCAAAACTCTAGCATTTGCATTGGAACACTTTCTTTTCAACTAGTGAGGCTGTCTACAAATCCCTATTGAAAGTTACTTTGTACCATAGCAGTGTCTTCAGCGCCTTCATCGGAAGTAGTCGTGCCGATTAGCGATTAAGGATTAGATTTTATTCTTTTACCAGTGCGTCACCTCTGCTTCGCAGAGGCTCGCACTGGCTCTTGTATCTTATGCCACACTCATTTCTGCATAACATGGCATTGAAACCTACCGCGCAATGCCCGTCTTCACGAATGATTCGTAAACAACTACTCATTTCCTAAGCTTTTTCGCGTGAGATCGGTATTTTGCGTGAATGAAATTTTGGAAAATGAAGAACAAATGCAAATTTGAACAGGTTTTGGAACTTTTTTTGGCTTGGTAGTCGCCATAAGGGCAATAGTTACCGTGAGCTACATCTCGATGCAAAAATCTTCTAAAATGCTCAGGTAAAACCACGGCGGACTGACCATTTATGCGACCATTTCTTTTTGGCGTCGTTTTCGTAAAGTAGCAAACCTTTGGTCACTTTTTGGTCTAAGGTCCATGGCTTACACATCAACCTGCTAAACGCGTCTGCTTTGCAAAAAGCGTTGATAGGGGACCCAATTTTGCTGGCCAGAAGCCAAGTGGATCCGTTTGACGCGCAAATTCTGGGGGACCCACTCAACGAATCCGTTCGTGTTTTTGCATGCTGGAGTTCTACCTTGGTAGCATGCGCTATGTAAAGTTTGGGCTCGGGATGGTGGCTGGAACCCGCTGTATGAATTTCGTTACACACACACACACACACACACACACACACACACACACACACACACACACACACACACACACACACACACACACACACACACACACACACACACACACACACACACACACACACACACACACACACACACACACACACACACACACACACACACACACACACACACACACACACACACACACACACACACACACACACACACACACACACACACACACACACACACACACACACACACACACACACACACACACACACACACACACACACACACACACACACACACACACACACACACACACACACACACACACACACACACACACACACACACACACACACACACACACACACACACACACACACACACACACACACACACACACACACACACACACACACACACACACACACACACACACACACACACACACACACACACACACACACACACACACACACACACACACACACACACACACACACACACACACACACACACACACACACACACACACACACACACACACACACACACACACACACACACACACACACACACACACACACACACACACACACACACACACACACACACACACACACACACACACACACACACACACACACACACACACACACACACACACACACACACACACACACACACACACACACACACCCTTAGCCCGTTATTATAAGTTATGATGTTGCAGGTAATTCTCTTCGGCTAACCTCTCAAGAATGACCGACTTCGATACGGTGAGCTTTGGTTATACTTTTTGAGTTTCAATTTAAAGGGTTCTTCTATGTAGCGAATCCGATTTTGTGGTCTAAAACTTGCCTGAAGGCTGTTAGCATTTTTTTGTCGCTTGCAACTTGTGTGCTTCATTGATAAATCTGTTCGACTGTGCATTGCAAAGCTAATCATCTGCGGTATGCAGGCAATAAAACTCTTTAGCTTGTGTCACTCTTTTTCCACACTTATTCATCCTTAATCTGACCCATACCTAAAAGACAGTGTTTTCATAAGAAACCGGTCTTACTTCACACCACTTCGTATTTTTTCAGGATCCTACTTCCATGTATAGCGTGAAAGGAATTGTTATCCTTGATCAAGATGGAAATAGAGTAATTGCAAAGGTAAGAATTTTCTGTTTACAGTGTTACTTTTTTGAAGTGCTGATGTTGCTGATGTTCATTTCTTGGGACTGCTAGGATGGTAATGCTTGTTGTTATATGGTGTTTTTGTGTCTTCAGAATGTATCTAGAAGTAAACATAATTCATTGAAGCATAGCTATTTTCTATTGCAGTACTTCGACAAATCCACTTTTGGAACTACGAAGGAACAGAAAGCTTTCGAAAAAAGTTTGTTCCAGAAAACGTCGAGAAATTCATCATGTAGGTTACCATCTATTCTATAACTCTTAGATAGGTCCAGACTTATTCGGTTCAACCGGTTTGTCCATTCACTCATTCACTATAGGTCAAATCTTTGAATTGACCCACAGCGGATGATTGAACCGGATAAGTCTAGCACCTACCTTGCTTTATTTTCGCTTTTTCATTTTCTCACTCTTTAGCTGAAATCATCCTTCTTGATGGTGTGACTTGTATCTACCGATCAAACGTTGATCTGTACATGTACGTTCTCGGCAGTAGTCGCGAAAATGAATTGGTTTTGGAATCTCTGCTGAACTGCCTTTTCGATGCTATCTCTACAGTCCTTCGGAAAAATGTTGAGAAGAAAGCCCTGATCGATGCAATGGATACATGCATATTGATTATCGACGAAATATGTGATGAAGGGTAAGTTTTCTAAATATGGTCTTCTCTGAATAAGTAGAAGACTTCAATTCAACTCATTGGCTGCAACTGTTTACTTTTTGGTGTTGCTTGCAACTGTTTGCTTTTCGACTAATCACCGTTCTTTCTTCTTTTTGAACTTCTGTTCTTCTATGTTGGTACATCTTCATCCAGGATTTTTCTTTGCATTACAAGCCAATATTTTCTAGTTGAAAACTTAACGTATTGGGTTGTAGCCTAATGTATTGCCCGATGATCTCTGTCGCTCCGTAATCTTCGTTTCCTTAGATATCATGCTTAAGATTCTTTCCGAGTTTAATATCATTCGCGCTTCAGTCCAAGTTTGGCTTTTGCTTTCTTACTTTGATCTGATGTGTCTTTGAGCTGTTTTTACACAAAAAACTGGCTAGTCGAAGTTGCTTGGAAAACATATAGCTGATTCCAAATCTGCCTTCCTTATCTGCGGAGCATTTGTGGACGAGGATTCAAGCGCGTTTATCGGAGAAAGAAAACCTATGCAAGTAGGATGAATATAGTCATCACATTCTTTCTAGCTCTCAAACGAAGCGGTGATTATTATAGCGATGGAATATTCCGCTGCCTCATTTAAGCGCTAGGGAAATTTCAATTCTATTACAGACCACCAGTTTTTGCTCAAGTAAACGCTATGATTTCTCGCCCGTAAACGCTGGGCAGATAACGAGGACAGATCAGGAATCAGTGTTTTATGCACTGGTTTGCAGATAGTTTGCATATACCATCACAAAAGGCCAATGCTAACCATCGCTTCTATAAGACAAAGTCTCAACATCAGTATAGTGCAACCAGATTCATAGCTTGGTGTTTTGGTAGTACTTAGCGATGAAACGAATAAATTATAGTGTGTCACATAAAACTACCGCAAAGCTGTGGATGGTCAAATCGTTCTCTTCTAGTGTTATTCTGATTTTCTCGTTGCTCTATCTATGAGGATGTTATATCTTCATTTTCCAGAATTATTCTCGAAACGGACCCTCAAGCAGTTGTCTCTCGCTGTGCGTTGAAGGCTGACGAGATCTCTTTCTCAGACCAGACATTCTCACAAGTTGGCATCTCACTTATGAGTTCAGCAAAGGAGCAGTTTAAGTGGTCATTGTTGAAGTAGGATCTTTGCGAACGCTTTGTTTCCCAGCACTTTTTTAGACGTTTTTTGGTTGAATCTGGCATGATCTGTGATATATTGCTGTTGGAAACTGAGCGTTTGCTGAATTTTATTGGAACTATTAATTATTCGAGTGTATTGTCATGGGAGAATGTGTTTTTATGCTTTCTGTAATCATTGTTGGGAATAAATTTATGATCTGATTTTCTTGTCGCTATCGAGTAATGATATCAAGTCAAGGTGGTGCCCCAAGTACATGTCATATTTTCCATATTAAGAAGCCACAAATTCAACCTGGTCGAAGGTATCTTTACGCAGTGCCTAGGGATTTTTAGAGGGTTTCTTTGATAGGCTCAGCTAGATGCCTCGCACTCCTCCAAAACGTCGCGGTAGTACGTCAGTTTCTGAATCGTCGCCTAGCAAATTACGGAAAAAGTTGAGTATCCTGTCGTCATTAGTTGCCTAATTCCTATGCAATGTTTGTTCTTATAGAAGGGAGCAGAGGCTAATCTTTTCAAGAAAGAGAAGCATGGAACTCATGCTGAATCTAGACGAGGGACTTTCAAATTGGATGACATGAAGTGAGCTCGCAACAATTTATAGCTTCAAAGCACAATAATGACAAAGAAGTGTCGCTATTATTTGTTAAATCTCACAAAATGCTCAAGTTGGAAGTCTCATTGAATTAATATTGGCGTCTGTTATTCACGAAATAGCCAATCTGCAGGGATGCTTTGTCAAAAGCCGTGGAAGAAACCAAGGAAAACAACATGAACATGGAGAGCACCCTTTTTCGGTAAGTTTTGGTCTATCATGGGTAAATTGCCTCTATATACTGCTCGTGTATTTTTTTTGTCAAGTCACGCGAAGGAAGTGTGGTGCTAGATTTGCTGTTTTTCGTAGAAATTTAGAAAAATGAGTCGTGACTGATTGCATTGCGCGGAAAATCTGTTTTCAGAGATGAGTCGCACGTTATCACTCTTTCTGGCATTGAGAATTTTTTCTTGCAAGGAAAAGTTCCACAGATAAATCAAGCCCACGGTGGACGACGTAAAGGCAGGAATCTACCTCATCAAGCGGATCCCAAGTTGGTTGCATTCTTTAGTGTAATTGCATTTTTTGAGTACTTCTTAGCAGTCTTTTGATGAGAGTTTTGCAGTCTTTGCGAAGAAGAGGATGAAGATGAGTCTGAAGAAAAAGAGGTTTCAGAGGAGCAGTTTGCACACTGCGATCTTGGAAAGCTTAGAGACTATCTCAATGTAGGTTTCTTTGAAGAATGTTTCACAACAAGAATTATTGAAGCCATTTGTAGAGCGATGAAGTCAAGCAGAAGGATGCTAAGCGTATAGAAATTTTAAGACAGGAGTTTTCCTGGTGGACTTACTGCTTGGCGGGTGGATTCAACTTACTAGTACGTTTTTATCGCCAAGGAGGTAATGTAGGATTGTGTTTCCTATGATTGCTTTAGCTTTACGGTGTTGGGTCAAAAAGGGCCTTAGTGAATGCGTTCCGTGAAGAGCAGCTGAGTAGGTATCGAACCTTAACGATCGATGGCTTTCGTGAAGATGTTACCTCCAAATCCATCCTTGTTAATGTCGTCGAGTGTATGCAACTCAAAAACTGCGAGGTAAGTAGTGGAACATGAGTGTTAGTCACGTTACCTTTTTTATGATTATGAGCCAGCAACTATGCATTACATGCACCTGTGTTACCATACATGGGGTGCTGCACTAAGATAAGGTTAATTTCATGTTGGGATTTTATGTACACTCTTATATTATCAAATGTTGCGCTGTGTTTATCAACATTTTGAGAGAGAATGTCTAATTCACTTCATTAGTAAAACGTTCAGATCTTGCCCGTAATGTATTCTGGAAGGGTGTAATGCTTTGAATGCAAGTAAAAGTGCATCTGATTTCCAGCAAAAGCGACGACCACTAGTTGATTGGGCAAAACATATTGCTTCCACCATCGAACAAAAGAAGCAGCAGCTTATCATCTTGCTGAACAACATCGATAGCCCCAATTTGAGGTATGCATGAATTTGCTTTGCGGGACAATGGTTGTACGAAAAGCACGCATAGTTTTCGTATCTAATTCAGAAACTGCTTTTTCAAGTTTTTTAATTTTTATAGATATTACAGTTATTTGCTACCTGAGAGTATTTATTGTATGTCATTGTGTCATAGTGATCGCAAAGAGGCGCAGCGTGGAGTGAACGCTAGTTTTATCATTAAGTAGTGTCTATTTATCGAGGGTTTACATCAGCAATGATAAATACCGAAAGAGTATCAGTAATTTCGAGGGACCCATACCCCATTTCCGAGATGTAAATCTCATGCAGCTTATTGAATGACTTGAGACTGACGGTTACTAGTCACATTTTCCTTTGCAGAGATCCTCTGGATCAGACTGTGTTGGCGATGTTAGCAGAAAATCCTGCGGTTTTATTGGTTGCCACCATCGATCACATCAATGCAACCCTTTTGTGGACAAGCGTAAGTTGTTTTATTGCGTTATCTTTTAGAACACAGATATTGCCTGGTTCTTTCCTGCAAGATATGAGAAGAATTCCATACCTTCGTAGCGATTTTATAAAGGCTGAAATAGGGCAACCTCTAACGTACTTCTTTTTCAGGTTTTACTAGAATCATTCAAGTGGGTGTACTGCCGCGCGGACACCTTTGCTTATCCTGCAGAAGAGTTGCTTGCAGGACAATCGTCGCTGTTAGGACTCAGTGCCAAAAGTAGTCATTCGGTTAGTGCTGTTATAGCTTGCTTGATATAGTGTCGAAGTGTTCTTGTATCGCCTGCAGATTTGCGCGTAGAAAATGCCTGCTAGACGCACTGTTTGAAATGTACACTATTGGCCATTTTTGCGTGCAGATGTTGCCATCACCGCGAGGGCAAAAATAACATAGGATTGCTCAATCTAATTTTAGGCACATTCGCTCTCCTCTCTCGACGTATTATGGCAATCCTTAGCAGCGAACTCTCGTTCCATATTTCGGCTCTTCTACGCCATGTACTTCACGGCAAATGAGCCTGTACCATTTTGGGACCTCTTCGGTGCAGCCAAGTTTGTTGCTCTGAACTAATCACGTCGAAAGCTGGATCTGTATATTTTCAGGGATGATTTTCTTGTCTCTTCGGACACCGCATTACGGCAACAGTTGGTTGAGTTCAATGATCATCGAATACTGAGGTACATTTGAGTTTAAACGCAAGTATTCGTGGAGTTTTTTTTTGGAAGACTGGGAGTTTGTAAAAGAAGGGAAGGGGAAAGGAGGAAGCTGAGCATTATTTTGGAGGGTGGTTTAGTGCTCCGTACGCAGTCATCACTGAAAAGGATACCGACAACAGCAGCCGAAGGTCAATATTTCCAATAGTATCTCAGGTTACGTACAGAGTAGCTTAGCGCCGTTCCGACACATCGAGCGGTGACGGTGCGCGCTGACGTTGTCCGGCACGGCGCTGGAACGTGCCAGTACAACGCCGGCAAGTAGACAGGAATAGACTTAAAGGCTGCTGCATGACGAAGGCGCACAAGCAGTATTAATTAGGCGGGCGCGAACGCTGCGCGCGCGTATATTCACCGTTGTAAATCCTGCACCTCATGCGCTCTGCGGCTAATAAAACCACGTTCGCGCCCAAAGATATTGGGCCTTCGTCATGCAGCAGCCTATAACTACTTGCAACTATTCTATGTGTATAAATTGATTAAATTACAAACTACATTGCAGTACCTCAATGAATCTAATATATGAAAAATGGTTAGCTCAATTCGAAAGTCTTCCAATAGCGGGAAACCGCGACGGCTCCCGAAGCGAACGCTCTTCCAAATAGCACCTTTAAGTTGCTGGTTCAGTAGTGAAGAAAATAAGTTTCGTTCAGATAGTCTAGAGTCAACCGTGCTTTTGCAGCTCCTTAACATAATTCTGAGGGTTTATCTCTCACGCTTTACTTATTAAGAATTTTCTTCAAAGAGAGTGTGAAAGGGTGTATGACGTAAATTTGATCAATCCCACCATATAGCAAAATTGTATGCAATATCTGGTGCTCCAACTTGCCACTGCTAACTAGGGCTGTGCTTGGTACCGGAAAAATCGCAAGGAAATGGGGTTTTTTTTTATTAATGTGGATTTCTTTTCAGCACTTGTATGCCCTCAAGAATTTGTAGCTTTTCAAAATCATTACTACCCTAATTTCACGAGTAAAAGACGCACCTGTTTTTTCTATACTCAACTAGACGACACCAAAAAATCCCGCGAGCAAAGAATCATAGCTGATCCTTACCTAAAAGATTCTGTGGGAGAGGGACCTTTTCGCGCGGTACATTGCGAGCTGCTTGCTTGAAAAAATGAAAAAGTCTTTACTCGTGAAATCAGGGTACTTAAAAGTGGTAATGGAGTAGTAATGTGCGTGTTTATTGTTGTTACCATCACAGTTATGCACATTATAGATGGAAACGAAAAGAAGATGGAAATGAGCAGTTAGTTGGAACGCTGGAGAAATCATTGGTGGAGAAATTCTTTGAAGAAAAAGGACTCAACTTAGAATTCTGAGCTTGATGTATCAAATATATCACATTCCATTCCGCACTGCCTCGCTTATGCTTTCGATTTGATACTCGCATAATGATCACAGAATCTACTTTTCTCGAATGTCTCTCTCATATCCTAGCCTTTTGAACTGGTCGCCGGTAGTCTTTTCTCTTACAAAAAACCTGTATATTTGTAATGTTCATAATTTAGTGTGACCTTTTATCTGCATTTGCTATCCTGAATTTTTGGAAATACACATTTGATTAAGATGTTCGACATTTATATGCATTTTCTGACTTTGTCAGTGTTACAAGGGTGAAAGAAGTGCAATCAAGTTAAAGAAAGAAGGCAATCAAGTTATACTCAATGTCTGACCTTCGTTTTTGACTCAATATCTTTGAATCTGTTTGGGTGATTGAAAAAGCATGCCAAAACTGGACACCATATGTTTGGTTTGGTTTGAAAATGTACACAATTCACAGCAGATTTTCCATAACATGTATGAATTCTAAATTTATATCTTTCTGCTCAGTTATATAAACCCTAGCAAATCTCTCTCGCTAAGGATTCATAAAATCTTGTTTTGTAGGAACTTGTTAATCTGTGACTTCTTCGCATTAGTCTTAATGTTAAATTAATGTTTCAAAATTGGAAGAATTTTCGGAAGAGATTTTCTCACCTTCATGTGGAGGACTGATGCAACGAATTTACTAATCACTGGATACGCTGGTTTATGTAGGTTCTTCGCAATTTTGTCATATTTTTGTGATGGAACATTTATAGGTATGTAGGTGCAATGGAACGATATCTATTAGGGTTCTCATAATTTTCTACCGTTTTAACTACACCCGCCGTATTTTGCATCCTTCCTTCATCTAATGTGGCTTGAGTAACCATTCGACAGGGCAAAGCAAGCTCTACAAGATGGCTATCAAGAGTCTGCCCTCGTATTCCACGTAAAGTTTTCAGCTGAAACCTGATAGTAGTCGAAAACGAACTTTTCCGTCAAAAATCGTGTCTGCGACCGAAATCATCTAAAAAATTCCCCATTTATCCTAGCATATGCTTGATACATCGCGTATTCAGTTGTACACTTTCCGAATTTTTTCCATGGCTAGAAATAAAGAAAAAAATGAGTGAGGTAAAATGGCAAACTCCGCCGCTAGACGTCCTGAGCTCCTCTCACGCATGTGATCATATTGCCCATACATACAGAAGTACAATCATGTATTTGTGCACTTTATAGGTGCCTCAGTTCTCGAGAAATGCTAATCTTAAAGTAAAAACGGTAAAAATATTATGAGACAGCTTAATAGATGAACTTATGATAACAAGATGAAATAATCGAATTTTTTTGGAAGGATGTTTGAATTTTGGTCATCTCACGGTTAGTTCGATACAGTAATTTCAAAGCTACTTTACTGAGCCTGAACGATGACGAGACTAACATAGTAATCTGCATATACCATCATAATCATTTTTCTTCATGAACACTCTGCTTAAGAAAAGATTTTTTCTGTTAAGACGCCAACGAACTGTGTTGTTCGGTTGGGTTGAGCAACTATGTTCTAGCTATTGAAGGGCCTGGCAAAAGTTTTAGAACAACTTTTCAAAACAAACTTTTTCAGAGTAATTCTTGTGCAAAAATTGCAATCGTAGTGCAATACCTGCCCATCTAGATGGTCAGTAGGTGTGCGAACAAATGATTTACAACGAGTCATTTGTTCATCAATCAGTGGGAGAGACTTTTCACACGAATACTCTGCCCTTTTCCTCGTAAATTTTTCACAGCCTTGCAAAATTTGTTTCTGCGTACAACTTGCCTATTTGCTTGCCTCTTATAATCTATCATTTGCTTAACACAGTGCAAATAATAATAATTTTTGTTTCGCGCTCTTGCGATCTGATCAGGGACATCTTGAAATTCCGACTTTGCATGTATCAATGATTCCTTTTTGCTTTTCCTCCCGAAGCCGGATGAAAGGTTCACATCACTTTGCCGTTCCAGTAAATCATTTCAATAGACTAGTGGTGCAAAATGGATTTCGTTTAAAAAAAAGGTTTCATAAGACAACATTTGAGTTTTTCTTTCTTCTTTTTTTTAGAAAAGTTGAAGACAGAATCTCACAACCCGAGTAGGGATAAGTCAAAAGCCGTCCGATCCGTACATGCAACATTGGTAGCTCTCAAACACGACGAAACCTAGTTTTTGAAAATGGTCTAAATAATTCTAAATGCAAATACCAAGAACTATACACTCCATAAAATTTCGAATCATGTTTCAGAATTGCAGGGTTTCAAGCTTTAAAAACGTCGATTCGCCCCCCAAAACTCTTTTAGGTTGCTTGGGAAAAACCACGCTTTCAATTGCGAGCTAATTGAAGCGAATCACTCCTCTCCCCTGTACCCTCTCTAAAAAAATTTCTGAGACCGTCGCTGGTACTATCCTAGCTTTTGTCGGTACGTTGCGCTTCCCTCTGTCCATACAATTCTCGTACAGCGGGTAAACACAGGAAAGAGCGATCAAGTAGCAAGTAACTCTGTCCTCACGGCTGGCCCAGCGATCACATCCTTCGTGATCTTCAATCTGTAAGGTGTTTTTTCTAGGCTTGCTTGCCTCTTCAATCATTGGTGTAAATTTTCATGAGCCTTCTCTCGCCTCATCTCCAGTAAATGTTGTGTCTAGGTTTAATAGAGAACTCTTCCGTGTTGAATTAGTCCATTGTCTCAGCTCTTTCAAGGTCTGCAAAGATATGCATTGAGCTTTTGTGCACTTTTGCAAAAGGGTTCGTCCAATTTTATTCATTCATGCACTCACTACGCTCAGGGAGTACCTCAAAGACAATAAAAGATTGTCATAACCCAAAACAGTGATAAGGAATTGGACAAAAAGTTAGCTAATCTCGAGATATAGATTGTGTACGCGGTAAAAAAAATTTAATCAGAAATTTGATGTAAAATCAGCAGAGTCACATAGAAGCGAGCTCAATAGAAGTTGCTCCCCTTTTTTTCTAGTGGATCACTTGCTATTCCCTTTTTTTACAACCTTGTCTTGCAAACCATTAAAAAGTATATATTGGATATGGCCTCTTTTTCGCACGCTCAGACGTGGTTACACCAGGAAACAAATGTTGAAAAAAATTCCATTGTTAGTCATTCGAGTACTTCCACTAATGAGCTGATTCTCGATTATATTCAATGTAATTTGAGACTCAACCGTGAGCTTGTCTTAGTCAAGTTCAACTTGGAGTATGCTAAAGCCTATTCGCTTTTGCAGTCACATTGTGTGATTGCACCATTTCCACTTTTGGTGATATGAGGTTACGCCATTTTGTTTTCCTTTCAATCAGATTTACGCTACTTATTCTTCGTTCTAAATTGTTCTCATTCATGATAGTGACCCTATCAAAATAGGCCCCTCACTGTAGACTGCAAATTAATGCAGTTACATAGAGTAACTACAAGAACTACTGCATCATTTATTTTTTGAGAGCGTGATATTTCTTGTCGGTGGTCAAATGGGAGTGATGATTGAGGTTTAGTTTAGTAAATACTCATTCATCAAGGCAGTAAAGCTTATGCTGTCCTTTTTAATGTTGCTTCTTCAAAACTTTCAAAACTTCAAACTTACTCTCATGATGATTGCAAGTCAAGCCATGTCATTGCTCAAAAGGACATTTGGTGAAACGAAGCCCCTACTAGACATTCATAGACAGCCACAGCTCGTTTCACTCAACGTGATAATTTCACCTAACTGTCCAACATAAACTGCTGCAAAGTTTGCTGAGGCTGTCATGAGAATAGACAATCAAACTGCCAATTTTTTAGCTTCTTTTGGCCTGGTTAGCGAGGAATTTCTCTTTTTGTCGTGATGAAAAAAGATGAATGGCGCCTCACTGCTGTTCTTGGTGTGCTGCCATTCAGAAAGTGCTCTAAGCCTGCTCATTTATTTTTCTGCCTCATTCAAGGGCAAAGTCTCGCGCACCATTTCTGCACAAGTCTTCGATCAGAAGAAAATCGCTTTACTCCTTTAAATCTCAAACCAGTAGAAGACTTGCTTCTGTTCGTTTATTCTTCTCAATAGCGTAGACTCGATTCTTGATGATATCGCGAGAGAAGGATTTGACTACAAGCAAAGTTGTTCAGATCTTGTCACTGATTGAAACATGAAGAAAATTCCACAAATGAAGTTCGATCAGTTTTGCAGTTCAAGGCCATTAAGAAATGATTATAAAACATCAGTAATCCAGAATGCTTCAAAATTTTTCACAACACGAAGTAAGAAAGACGAATTATCCTTTCTTTTATGAATTCTGGGAATAAAAATGTAGTCAATTCTTTGAACAAACAAAACTTTCCGATACTGCGTATAGGATGACATCTTTCTTTGTTGGTGTGAAATTTATATTATTCTGCTAGTCCGGCAAGCCTGGTCTTTCATCAAAGGCTGTAAAAAGGAGCTACTCTAGGTTTCCAATGTCTAACGGTATTTTTGATAGAAACCTTAAAGATAGCGCAGAAAAAAATTATAAACAAAAGCAATAAAATAGCCACCCTTTAGACTTGCAGAAATCTTACTCAAAGAAAAAAATTTAAGGGCGATCAACTTTCCCCCAACTCGTTACATTCTCAAATAGGACAGACAGACATAATAGACATAATAGACATAATAGACATTTACAGACTTTGAGGCAGAGTTTTTTTGTATTGTTTTGCTTCTGACTGTTTGTCTATCGGTTGAGTATCACTCCAATATAAACTATTTACTATGTCCCTCATGCTACCGACGCTTTTGGCATTGGGACATTGAAAAAACTGGTATTACCATAAGTCACCACATTTATTGACTCAGAGCACAATTCCTTACAACAAATCATTTCTGGATTGCTCGCGGCGATTATACATCTACTGCATCGTTTAGGAAACGCTCGATACATTAGAGACCTAGCAAAGGTTCTAGAGGTTTTTTCTAACAGCATAGAATGAAGGAAAATGTTTTATTCTCTTCTCTCAGTGTAATTTGATGGTAATTTCAAATTCTGACAAACTGCTGTGAGTGTGAATGATGTGTCCTGGATTGACAGCGAGAGATAAGCCGGTAGCTAAGGTCAATCCGAGGTCACAATCCTATTTCTGCGCATACCGTTGTTCTTTTCAATAAAAACGTTTTTTTCTTCACCGAGTATTTCTCATCAGTTTCACTGACAACAGAAATTGTCTTGGAAATCAATGTGATTTAGTCTTTGCAGACAATTTCTCAGTTTGCTAATATAGGACAGAATATGTAGCACATTTGCTGTTTTATTTTACAAAATAGAAGCTTTGTTTACAAATCGCTTATATTTACTTTTCATCGATCTTTTTACTATTGTGAGAATATTTATCATTGCTTTTTTTGTAATTATTTGAATATGTTTTGATAAGTCACAATTTTGGTAAATGGCTCACATCCTACGACGTTTCCGCGCTTGTGAGAAATTCTAGGATTCACTCAACTAATAAGTTGTCCCAAAAGTAAACTTTATTTTCAAATAATCTGAGCTCTTTTTGCTTTCCTAACAGCTAAGGGTACCATTTGATAGACCGCAGCAAGCTCTACAAAACGACCACCAAAGATCCACCTAAGTGACCTAGGTAAAACTTGGAGCCAAAAATCAAAAATTCTCAACAACCCTAAAAATCGGACATCCTTCCAGAAGATTTTTACGGACTCCGAACCTGGTATTCAAGTAGACATATAGTAGTGCCAAAGTAGTAGTAGTAATAAAAATTGATGGATTTTTTCGAGGCTCAAGTTTGAGAAACAAAGATGGTCGAAAATGCCAAAATGCTACTTTTTTTTGGATTTTTCATGTAAAACTTCTCGTTTCTCGATTATAAAAGCACTTGCAGGGGTAAAGTTTTTAGATTATACTTAGTAAGGCTTGTAGTACAGAAAGACGTGATGTGATATGGCTAGGGGCGGAGTTTGCCATTGGACCACGTTCTTCTCCGGTGAAGGCATATTTGAGTACCACTATGTTATTTAATTACCACTATGTGTTTGCTTATAATGACCAAGTTTGAGCTCCGAGGGATCTTTTCTTGCAAAAATCCAATTTTCAGGGGGACAAATTTTTTTTTTGATTTTAGTTTCAAACTGCACATAAAATGCGACTTAAGCGGATCCTTGGAGGTCATTTTGTACAGCTTGATCTGCTCTATCTCTGCTCTATGATACCCTAAGTCTACCAGAAAAAAACAGCTTGGATTATTTAAAAGTTTACTTTTGGGACAACCTAAATATCAGAATCCATGTTCGACTATCCATAAATCTTGGCACGTCAGTCTGTATACTGTGGAATAAATATCTGTACCAATCTTGGACGCTGCTAAAGAAACTAATCAGAACCTAAATATCTATTTCACCTAATAGCCTAATAGTAACCTTCCGCTTTCGGTTCCTGTTGTTTTCTTCTTGACTATGTTTTTCAAATAAAAATCTCCATCTTTCCATTTAGTTCTCACGAATCTCCAGAAGGTAAAAGCAGCCTGAATCACCAGTAGCATTGAAATCGAGAGAAAACAACACGAAAAACCATAAATCTTCAGCTTGCTTTTCTAAATTTTGCATCTTTTTTAGAAGGCGGTTTCGCACCATTATTCGGTGATGTGGGTGCGGCTTGAGGTGCGGCTCCTCTACAGGAAAAAAGGGTATTTCAAATAACCAGGGGAAAATTTTCGGTTTTGTGAGTTCCTAATCCTCATTCTCTTGTCCGATGTGACAACTCTTCTAGCAATTACGGCACATTATACCTCGTGCCGCTTTCGAGGCCATATTTTTGTTTAATGTCAACATTTGGGAATTTTCACGACACAGAAATTGTTTTTCACGTGATTTAGAATTTTTACAGTTTCCGCCTTAGAAATCATAGAGTGCATATAAGTCCTAGCTTTGAAAATCTGCCTTTTCCCGACTACAATCCTCACTGCAACCCAACCACTTGTTCAAATCTAGCACAAATTTTGCAATAAACATTTCGGCGCAGAACCAAGCGCAGATCAACTGGCCGACCATGATTTGCGATCCGCTAGTTAACTCCACCGTAAAGCATCAATGGGTAGAATTGAGTGACATAGGGTTTTTGATGAAATAGGCTTAGAAAGCCCACCCATTATGGTCTACGAATTATCTACCACTCCGCATTACTTATGACGAGCGCGTACTCCGTCATTATCAAGCAAGCTTATCATTAACGAAGAGCCAAAAAGTGTTCCTGAGTTGACGGGTTTCTGGCTCGTAATTCAGTTACTTGAGATATAAAGATAGCACACATACTTCATCGAAGGATAATTTTTTGCTGGTATCCATTTATTTCACGACGAGAGGATTCATCGCTATAAGCTGCATCCCAGAAGTTTTTCCGACTTGACCCCATCTCTTCCTCTGAAAAAGTTTCAAAGACCTCCCTTGATCTAGCATGAAATTTTCTTGAAAAGAGATCAAACGAATTTGGTTGCAATTAAGCTTTGCAACTTTTCCTTTGGTTTAGGTGGCCCAAACTTTGGAATTTTTAAAATAATGTGAGTTACAAATGTAGCCAGTGTAGTAGGGTGACATTATTTTGTAAAGGGGCCGAGTAGAGGCTACAAATTTGGCTGAGACATGATCTAGAGGGATTAACCGAGTGAGCGCAAAAACCTCAGGCATTCTGGTCCGTTTTGAAACGCTACAAGGATTCTCAATCTAACATCAGAAGAATATGAAAGTACTTGCAAGCCAAATCTTACCGTGGCTCTGCAATTTCTGGGATTTCGTCCGTAGTCGTTGACGGATGTCCGCAACGGAAGATAGCTATTATACTTAACAGTGGCGGAATAGATCGCGAAATTTTTGGATTCACTTACATGGGCTATAAAAATGTGCAGTTGACTTGTTTGTCTTTACAAGTAATTGGAATAATTTTTAGGGTTTTTAAAAAATCATATTAGTCCTGTAAAACATTTTTTTTCGGGAGCGTGGCTTCCGTCACTTCTCTTTTTCAAGATTTTAGAAGTTATGGGCCCGCAAAAATTTCGAGAATCACCCCAAAAATTTTTTAGAAGTGCATGGCTTTCCTACCCCCCCCCCCTCCCGGACGAAAATCCTTGGACCGCCACTGCTACTCAACCACATTTAAACGCGCCAAATCTCAGTTTATCAACTTAAATCTTTTTTACTAGGCTGAAGGAATCAGTCTTTGGCAACTCTTTGGCTGAAATTTCGCGTGCTTGATTTATTTTGTGCACGGCTTTCCTTTTGTTTTTCTGGAAAATCTCAAATATCACCATCTTGTTAGAAACAACCAGTGTGTACACATTTGCAGCTCGCTTCAGTCCACATGATCGCAAAATTTTGTGTGCTCTATCAAGACAGAAATTTTGAAAGAAGTTGCAAACTTGTCAATAATAAATGTGATATTAATCCATTTCTCATTCAACAGTGTAGAAGCATGTGGCGCGACGGAAGAAACCAATTGGAAATTGTAAATATGACCTTTTCTATAAAATCACAAGCATACGAGTCTGACTAATTGTCGATTATATCATCACTTTTTGCCACATTTCTGATAGCTCGAACAAGCGTTCCGGCTACTACTACACATATCAGAAGCAAAACGTGCCGCTAATAGCTGGCAATACTGATTTGAAATTCCAAGAGGATCGCGCAAAGACATTTCCTGAAGTTTTCTGAGCTTTTCTTCTTCCATCTTTCCGTTCCACCGTCTTTGAAGTGCACTTCTTTACAAACTTGTGCGAGAATTTGAGTAGGCAATATTACACCATTTGGTTTTGAATCGCTCCTCTGTTCTTTTTTTGACAAAGAAATTGATGCATCTCCTGCAGTGTGATGTTTGTACGGCGAGTGTATAGCTGCATTTGGCATTTTTCATGTTCAATGGGAAAATCGTGGACCTTATATTTATTATGCGTATATCTCTTCCTATAAATTTCGCTGAAGTCAGAAGCTTTTGGCAAAGTCCTTATCCATAATTCTCTGAAGACCATCAATCTCAATCATCTTATAGCTTTTATAGGCCATGCTCCAATCGAGAGTGCTTTCCTCTCAAGCGATGCTTCATGCTGTCTATATCACTTTACTTTCTCCAGCATTGTCCAACCTGCTCGACTGTACACATGGTTTTGTTGGAAGAAAACAGGTTGGTTTTTCGCCCATATGCGGTAATTTTTATGCTGTTGTCGTCATAAAATCCTGGAATTGAGGAAGGCTAGAACGGTTCTTAGAAGTTCTAGCGCAGTTCTAGCGCGGTTGGAGAAGCAAATTGTATTATGAATAAATTTCCACCACAATAATTAGGAGTACTAAAAAGATGGTGCTCCCGTTTGAAAATTATTTGTACGTGCGACCGACTACTCCTTGCATGCTTACACTAGAATAACCTTGTGAATTGTTTTCCATTCTTTTCGATAGTCGTACCAGCGTAGTCTCTTTTCATTAATTCCAAATAGATGTAGCTGGGTTTATCTATACGTAAACAGTCATTGCAGAAGTGGTTTATAGATGTGACATCTAAAGTTTGTTGTAAATTCCTTGGTCCAAGAATGCCGCTTTTAGTTTTTGCCTTCGTTAAGTTTCTCCATCATGATCCGAGCGGAGTTTCATGAAACTGTGGTGACAGCTCTGCAGTGCTTCAACAAGCAGTTCAACCAACCGTTCGAATACGTTCGCAATGTGCATGTCGAAGTGATCGCCACAGTACAAATGCGATGCCTCCTCTGTTTCCGAACTGAAACTGTCTGGTACAAAGTTGGTGCAAGGCAAACTCTTGGCTGCTACGATTTGATTGAATGAGTTGTAGCTATGAGTCTCCGATTTCCGGAACTCGCTAATTATGTTATTTGAAAAAATGGCGTTGTTCTTTGTCGGCTCCGCGATGCGAGCAGCTCATTGTAACAATTTGTTCAAGAGCACTGTAGGACGCGTTATTGGTAGCGACTACTGTTTCCGTCGCCGGGCCACTCCGCCTGGAATTGCGTCCAAGGAGGTTTACGAGACCGCGCTATAGCAGCTTGCCTTGTTCCTCTTCTTCATCAGTTCTTATTACACTGTCATGCAATCCCTCATTCTTATAAGGGAACGATACTTGGTTTTGTGGTCTTTTGAAGTAAGATGTATCCCATTACGCTCGTCTTGGAGCGCTGATTCCGAATCTGACTTCCGTTTTTGCTAATCCTTTCTTTACAAGTTATGAAGGAATTTGGCGTTAAGGGAAATGTGGTCGGAATGCCAAAACTGCCACAACGATGTGGTGTAGCGGCTAGTGGGATAGCTTCATAAGATGCAGGTTTAGGTTCGAGCCCTCTGCGTTTCTCAGTTTTGCATTGCCTCAATCAAGTTTTTTTTTCGAAAGTTAAGAATCCTCGACAGTATTTTTCGTGTGCGACCATTGACGCGAAAATCCTCATAATCCCTTTAGGCAAGGGACATACCTCACGCAATTTCAGTCGCCACGCAATCTGGCAATTTGCCAGATGTCTTCAAACTCAATACTGGTAGACCCCAAATGCACAGCATGTATAGCTTTCGTAGGTTGATAAAATGCCCCACCTTCCGTACAATCAGAAACCCCGTACGATGAGTTATGAACATTCGAAGTATTGCCAAATCGCGTGGGGGAACGGTCAGGAGTCACGGTCGGCGCGAATTTTTCGCGAAGCGATGCCGCAAGCGTTGTCAGCAAAACAGAAGCCAGCACTCCTGGCGCAGTCTTACTTATGACACGAGTAATGTATCTGCCCCCACCCCCCACCCCCCTAGACTGGCGCCATGCCACTTTGGCACCGGGCAGTTTTGCGGGGTACAAAATCTAGACGCGACGTTCGCGGCGAAGCGGCGCCGCGCGCGGCGTGACTCCTGACATGGAGCCAATCGCGTGGCGACTGAAATCGCGTGAGGTATGCCCGAGGCCTTATAAGAGATTTGATAGTGATTCAATCGCCATAAGCCAAGTGTTACGAGTTCATCGCATGGCGATCTTCTCGTATTTCGTTTGTGATAGTTAGTCACGATTAGTCGTGTTGGAAAACTATCACAACCGAAATGCAAGAAGATCGGCATGCAATGATATTGTTACAGTTGGCTTGTCGCGATCAATCGCGACGAAAATCGCGTGAACTCTGTGCGAGACCATAGAGAGTCCGTGTTGAGCGATTGTGCATTGTGTTTCATGAGGTGAACACACCGAGATGGTTCCCGAACAGATGATTACACTGCAAGAGTGACGCTGTCGTTGCACCATACCGACTGGGTTTTTCTTGCGGTTGAACCTGGTGGAGGAATTTGTTTTCCTTTTTTTTATAGCGAAGGAGCAAGCACAAATGGTACTACTATGACATTTGTGAATCGGTGTCATTGCGCTAAAGATATGTATGCCTCCTCTGCAGAGTGCTGATCGTTCTCACGTGTTATTTCGTATCATGTGACCAGCAAATGCTGGGAGGGGAAGGGGCGGAGATACGCCGGCAGTATGTTAAGCGCATCTTAAACATCGTTTAATTTCTAGGTAAGAAAAATATGCGAGACGTATTCTAGGACGGACCAGACGTGGAATTTGTGTCGGTGAACGATACGCGTATTTGTGCTGCACATCTCTGCATCAAAGTGATCGTCCACGCTGGTACAGATGCAAGTGAGTTTGTGCCTGATAGTTTGAAGCTGTCAAATCTTATCTATTGAGGGACTAACTAGGTATCAGAGTAGTGTATGCGGCGAACATGTTGATTACGAAAATAATAAGCCTTAATGTATACCTTTACCTGGTTCTTGTAATTCTTATAAGGGGACGTTAGCTCATGACAACAGATTAAAGCAATGAGGAGATTGCAAATCTGTCTTTTATTAGCTCAGCGCTAACTTCTCAGCGTCAAAAATTGTGAAACGCTTTTTAAACGGCTGGAGAAATATGAAGGATTTATCTGTGACACTGACCATTTATTACTGAAGGAAGCTTAAGCCGTGAAAGCACAACAGCCATTAAAAATTATTTTCTTCTGTTAGTAATCTTGATAAGAATTTAGTTGTATATGGCTGGTGAACTGCAAAAAATGGTGTTAACTTTCCGTTTTTCCTTCGCACAGTTATATCCAAATTTCTCACGTACGGCATATCCAGTCTGCGGTCTTTTATATCACTCTTTTGATTTTGCAACTGCTTTGTGACATATTGAAGCCAAAAGTTTGCCCTATCATATTTTATATTTATAGGCAAAGAAAACACTGAGTAGTTAGCCTGTGTGGTGGTTTCGATTGTTACTCAGGGACATTGGCCGTGGTTTTAGGGCCTACATAAACGACAGATGAAGCTAAGGGGTTATATGTGCCTTTATACAGCACCGACAACCGCCACTAGCCTCCTGTGGCCGTATTCATCAACGAAACCCGTGGGTTCCGGAACCCACTGGGTTAGTGCTTTTGATGAATATCGATTCTTCCCTGGAGTGGAATCGATAGTCATCAAAAGCACTAAGCCAGTGGGTTCCGGAACCCACGGGTTTCGTTGATGAATACGGCCGCTGTAGCCGCCTCCAACTGCCTTTAGTTGCCACCAGCAATCGCCAGCCACTATTAGCCGCTAGCCGCTTCTGTTCGCACGCAAACCGAAGTTTCCGCATTTTCACTATGCTCCATTGCATCAGTCCACACTGCTCATCCTCCATGCTCCTCTTATACTCACTCATGCGCAGAATGACTGTCTTACAGCATCGTTTATCCATTGTCATCACTATCTCGTTGCCATGGGTTTGGATAGGCTAAGGGCTTGTTATAAACTATAAGAAATAAGTTGACGCATAAAGAGTAAAATGATAGTCCGGATAAAGGATATACACGAGAAAAGGCGCACTGCAATAACTTATGTCCAAGCGCAGCAAAATTTTGAGGAGTGATTAAACACTCCAGATGTTTTATGCAAAATAGGATGCTCCAAAGAAATTCGCCATCGGTAACAAATCTAAGCTTCCACGGCAACAGGATAAGCGACGATGATTACAGAGAGCGTCAAAGTGTATTGAGGGTCAAATGTATGAGGGTCAAATCGCGTATCAGCCAAAAAAACGTGGAAGATTAGAGGCGCGGACAAATGCATTGGAGCAGTGAAAATGTGGTTTGGTAATAATCTGACAGAAATTCAGAATTTGAAACTTCTCGTAAACTAAGACATAACTCTGAGTTCCGTTTTTGAAACTCAGGAGTGGTAGTCGAAACCAACGAATGATGTGATGGTTCAATCATCATTGCATTGTGGTAAGCATGATCATCTTCTCACGGCCATTCAGTTCAATCGGTCACACAATTTCATGAAACAAGCAGATAACTATTGGAAAACCATACTTGTTTCATGCTTGTTTCATTTCAAGCTGAGCCATGAAGTAATCAGCAGTTCAACATCATAGTTTGCATCAGGTAGAGTAATGAAAATAGCATTTCATTTCATGAGACGCAGGCTTGAAATCACCATATCATAGTTTAAAATGAAAAAGGACCCCCCCCCCCCACCGACCACTTTTTCGTTTGAAACAATGATGTGTTGGTTTCACATCGTGTTATCGCGTAAAGCGTTAAACTAAGGTTATCGTGCTACTGAGCCGATGAACGTAACACATAGGGGGTTATGTGTTTTTGAGTTACGATGAATTCAGGGGGCGGTATTTATCAATCTCCGATCCGCTCTTCGGGCCATTATTAACAGTGCCTGTACAGGCGAGAGCGCACAGAGCTACACTATTTCTGGATGATTTAACGCCGTAACCACCCTGTGCATCACATTCAAAATCGTTTTTTGGCAGAATTAGAGTGTCACCAAGGACAATTTGGTGCAAGTTTGTCGCATGGAGGCAGTAGCAGACCTTACCTGCTGTTTTTTGAGATAGCCCAAGATCTGCTACTTTCATACGCTAGTTTCGATGATAAAAACATCGTGAGCCATATTGGCTCCCTTTCAGTGAAGCGAAATCTAAAGCGTATGAACGCTGTTACTTGAAAAGACCTAGCACTGATCACTGCGAACATAATCAATATTTCTGGGCGCCTACGAGGCGTAGCATCTGCGCTGACATCTGTTTCCAGAGATACTTCCTAACAACACACTCTAAATTTGATAATGCACCACTATTTCCTGACGACATACTGCTAAGGTAGGCCTTCGAATGAGAAGCTCTAAGCTACCGGCAACAAGTTCATTCGATAATCTATTGTTGGAAAGTTAGTGTATAGCTGCTCGATAAAGAGTAACCATAATGAAAGAATGAAAAGCTGCACACTGAGTATCACGTCTGGTAAAGTGCAATGATTGCGGACAAGCATGAGAATGGTTGGAATTTCGATCTCCTTCAATGACTTTGCTTTGCAAGATAGTTTATTTCAAGGTTTCCTATTGATTAATTCGTGGTTTCGTTGGGAAAATGGTGTGAAGCTGCTGGTTAGCTGGTGTCATGAAAACTCAGTTAACATGATGGTTTCGACTAATTTACTACCACTCCAGAATTTTGCTTATCGAAACTCTGAGATACCCGTTCAAAGTTACGAGCATTAACTCTCAAGATCAGAGTTTCGATTTGCTGTTTGAGGAGTTGTTATGCCCGTTACTGCAAAAGCAACGCTCAAGTGCGATTCGAAACTGTTTGGTTTAACGCGGTGATTCTATCACTAAACCACTAGTTTATGACGCAACCTTGGGTGCAGAATTGCTTTGCTTTAATGTATTCACTGCACTAACACAAAGCATGCCAAAACATGTAATATCAAAGCCTCACTGATTTTCATTTTCATCGAGTAATGATTCTTTAAATTGGTCTTTTGCGCAGACGAAGGCTTCAATGCAAAGTTTGCTCTTATTTTGTGGTTTTGGCCCAATCACGGTATGCTCATCTTAACCTTACTAGATGACACTATCGCATGAGTTTTCATAAAATTGTGGTCAAAGCGCCTCTAAAATCCCACCGGACCAAATCTTAGCCATTTTTGCGATTTTGCCAGTTGCCGTTTACCTACCATAATTACTTTAATGACATTACTGTACGTAGCAAATAGACTCTTTGTGATCTGCGCCGCGAATAACCCCAGTGTACCAAGTTTGAGCTAATTCTGCCACTTCGCTCACCTACTGTAAACCTACCGTAACCTCTTCAGATATCCACCGTATAAAATGAATACCATATGCGCGATTAGCACGTCGAATGACTTCACTGGTCCAAGTTTTTCATTTTTATGAGTTTCTCTCGACTACCGTAAATTGGCTATATGACCCTAGCGTGAAGAAAGATTTCCATATTCGTAATCATCGAGTAGCTTCTTGAGCCAAGTTTACGAGAGTCTAAAATCTCACGAATAACAGCGCACCCGATCCTCTCATCATGCTTGCTGAAAATATGAGCAAAATGTACATAGGAGGACTTTTAGCTGCCCCTCCTCATTCGCACACTATTTCTCCTTCTCTGACCAAACTCAGGGTTACCTCTGAGGTCTACGATAGACTGGAACGCGCAGCAAACTCAGAGTTTCGTAGAGCTGAGTTGAACATTTGGTGGCGCTATTTCTTGTGCAAAACGATTTGGGCAATGTTGCCTTATTAGAAGTAACGGTACTTTTCCGTTATCCGGACCCATTTTTTCAAAGAAGCAAATTGCTTCTTCTCTCGTACCATATTTGGTCCCGGCCAGGGTCAAGCTTGTGATGCGACTGTCGCAACGGGGGGTCGTAAGAGGTATCTAAGGTGGGGGGGGGGGGTCGTAAGAGGAGATAGTTAGACTAAAATGCCCTAGGCTTCAAAGGGAATCAAAAAGCAAGCAATTAGTTATGTTCTTTGCAATAAATCTATAAAAAAGTGGAAATCAGAATAAAAAAGATAAAAAATCTGTAGAAATACTCAAAAAAAAAACATTTACAAGGCTCAAAACACTTTTGAAGGATGTATTATTTGATAAAAATGCTAAATGTACCGATTGCCTTAAAAATCTTGCTTCTGAAGCCTTCCTGAAGTCTCACACACTCGACAAAAGCGAATGTCTTTACCAGCTGTGACCATCATAAAATTCTAAATCTTTTTGTAATGTTTTTTACGGGCGCATATAATTTATCTGTGCTTTTGAGATGCTCCGCTATATCAATGCAAAATTTGGTGTTATTTTGTCAGCTGTGGATTTTCTTGTGATTTTATGGTAGCAAAAAGTCAGGAGAGGGGGGTCGTATCTGGGTCGCATCTAAATTTCTTCGGAGCTATTGAAGCTTGTTGGCTGCAATTCTGCTGTAATATAAGGCCATAGTCCTACTTTCCCTCGTAAAAACTGCAGGCTGTTTTATAACTTCTCTGGTAAGTTACAAAATTTCAAGCTCAAAAATCCCACTTTTTCCTTTCTAGGATCGCATCTAAATTTGCGAGAGTCGCATCTAGATTTTTTCGAGCTTACTGCTCCTCAAGAGCTGAAACTTTTTCTTTGGATAGTCTGGGCACTGTAGTACAGAACCTGTGCTTTGCAGCCTCTCAGTCTTTTCCTGACCTTAGTTACGAATTTTCAAATTACCGTGCTCATGCACGTTTTTGACGTCGTTGGACGACGCTCAAGCGGTTTTTTTCGCGGGAAAAACTGTGGAAGAGGTAGGAAGTAAGCTTCTTAGTCGAAAACATCTTTTGTAGTTCAAGAATGTCATTTTTTCTCCATGCAAAAATTTGTGTCGCCTAAGGGAATCGAATTTGCTTGCCTGAAGTATGCCTGAAAATTCAAAAAAACTTGCAGAATCTCAAACATTATTAAAGGTGTGTATGTGTGCTACAGATGATGGACGCACCCATTGGCCCAGAAATTTTGCTTCCGAAACCTCACTGAAGTTCTCATGCAGGTGTTTTTTGAGATTGACATTCGTTTATGCAGGTTACCGCGAGGAATGTGGGCAGGGGAGGTAAGGGGATAAATGAGTGAGGGTGGGGAGGGAGGGGGGGGAGGAGGGGGAAGGGGGAGAGGGGGTCGTACGGATGGGTACCTTCAAGGGGGGGGGGTCGTAAATGAGGGTCCCGGATCGCATCAGCAGGCTTGACCCTGGTCCCGACTTCACAGGAAGGAGTGCCAATCTTCTGCCACGTGTCAAAAAAATTTGACATGTCATTTACATGTTTAACATATTCAACCAAGAGTTTGAGTCCCTACCTAGCGACGTAAGTTCAATCTCTTTATTAGTCAATAGCGGCCCCATTTCCGATTGAGTATCAAAAATGAGCATTGTTATCATAATAACGCCATTCCGTGACTTATTAAACAGATTAGACGTGCCAAGAGTAGAGAATTGGGCTAGGATCTCATCTTAGCCATGTCTCAAGCCATCATTTATAGTGTCATCTGGCTAAATTCGCAAGACGAAAAGTTTGTAGAGAAAGATAATGCTGAATCGTTGCTGAAAGCGATCAAGATGTTCTGATACAAATTTCAGATTGTTTTGCTCTCAGACAAACGAATCGAACAGCTTTTAGGTGTTCACAAATGCTCTTTTACTTCACCGAAAGTGGTTTCGAAAAAACATGTCAAAATGGACTAAAACGTGTCAATATTTTTCTGACACGTGGCAGGAAGGCAGCCTTCGTGAAATCCATAAAAAATTGTTCTGAGACTGAAGAAAATATTTTATTAGAGCGTTTTGAAGAATTGGGTCCGGATAACGGAAAAGTACCGAAGCAACTACCGGTTAGGAGTATCCTGCCATAACATCGCTTCCAAATTTGGTCTGTTCAAGCATTTGTAAAGGAGGTCCGAATGGTGCACGTTAGCTCAGAGATAACTCAGGGTTATAATTGTAAATTTCATCCAGATTACTACCGTTCCTAATGCTCATTGCTTCATTGCTCTCATGTTAACTAACAAAAGCGGCTATCGGCGGCCGGCGACGGCTACAGACGGCTAGCGACGGCTCCGGCGCAGTACAGAGGCACTCTACGATAGGAACCCGTCAAATTTCGCCGAGATAAGCCCAAAAGCGCACAAAAAAGCCAAAGAAAGCTCAAAAAGGCCCGAAAAAGCCAGAAAGAGCCGAAACGCAGAAACGAACTTTTGGTAGAATTCTGACATTATTTTGATGTGCAGACGACAGAAAATGAAATAAAAAGACTTGGTTGCGAAATCAACACACGTGCCTTAGCGCCAAACCGGAAGGGGGCGTTCCGGCTTTTTCTGGCGCTTTCAAGCTCTTTGGGGAGTTTTTTAGGCTTTTCTAGCTTTTTTGGGTTTTTTTTCGGCGAAGTATGGTGGGTCCCTAATACTTAATATTGTCTGAATGATAATAGCAGTGATTTTCTCTGTTATCCCCTCGGTTTTAACGAAGAAAAACTATTTCAAAGAACTTTTGATGCCGTAGATTGTCAAAGCTCCATCTATAGAGATTTTTGAAGGAGTAAAGTTTATTGGAGCACCACTGATACAAGCTAAATTGTTTCCCCAAATCAGCCTAAAATTAATAGGCCGTTTCACAAGTTTATAAGGTCCCACTTTTGTCGTACCTTTTTCTCAGGCTCACGACCAAGTCACCTGTACCATTTAGAGTTAACTAGCTCTTTAAGACCTACTTATTTTCGAAGTCTCCTTCATACCCTCCTTTGTCGCTTTAAAACTTTTCAAAGCAAAGTTTTTTTTAAAAAGCGGCTCAGCTCCTGCATCTACGTCCATATGCGAAAATCATTAGTGAAATTTCATCCGAAGCTGTGGTCACACCTTGTATGCAAATATTTGCACTATTCGTATGAAGACGTTCAATAGTTAAAACTTGATAGCAGGCTTTCAAAAAAACGTTGGTTCGAGAAGTCATAAAACAAAAGGCATCAAGTTTGCTCCGAAAATGAAGAACAAGATTTGTAAAGCAAGATTTCTTTTTCGAATGGTGCGGGTCTTTGCCGTAGAACCACGCTTCCTAAGAACGACGACAAAATAGCTTCGATTTTGAAACGACGTAATAGAGTCTGCAAAACTATCGGCGTTCCGTCAAAAGTTCAGCATGCATTTGTGATCAAAAGGAGTACGATGAAAGATATTGTATGACTATAACTTGCAGATTGGCATTTGACTCATTTTTTAGAGGGTGTCCTGCGACAAGGGATCTCCTCTCGTTGTGGCTACACTGGAGGAGATCGTTCAACGTGTTCACGTATTGAAGGCTGTTCAAGTATACCATTCTACGATGGCATGACAGGGAATGTAAGTCGTTCATTTGTCATTGCTGCTTTAGTCTGCAATTTCCGAGAAACAGCCTTAGGAGTTTGACCTCCAGTAGTAACACAAGTGTACCTTCTCCCCAACTTATTGTTGGATAAATTCAACTTTCTTTCGAAGAAGCTACTCTGTCCGTTAGTACATAGTCGATGAATTACATCGATCCATCCTACTACTTATTGTTAGTTCTCAGCTGGCACAAGGACTTTAACTGAAGTATCTGCGGTCGTTTGATCCCACGGCTTCAATGAAAATTGTTGGGCTACATGCAAAACAAAATCATATTAGGCTCTTCGCACATCTGCAATACGGAGTGTCTCAATAATTTATCAAACCTAATGATTTTCAATGAATCTATTAATTAATGAATTGATAATGATCAATGATAATGCTTATGATTCTTTTTAAACAGCTTTAGATGTCCTTTGGGTCCCATATCGTAGGGCTGGATTCAGCTTGAATTTGCGATGGATTACAGAAATCTTTCCGCTGCTATAGGATAAGGCCCGTATGCAGTACGTCCTCGCAGGACAGGGTAGGGGATGAGGGAACGCGTCATATCTCGCTAGTTCCGGTACCTGCATTCTTCTTTTTCTATCTAATTAATGAAGGTTCACATATCTTAACACTTGAATATTATGGATGACAGAACATTACCACACAAATTGAGCTTTTCACTGTTTCGTGTGATCCTTTAGAGGTCCCAGGGGATCACCTCACATTTTCAAAGTCATTTATTTTCCTATAAACTCGACGAAATGCTGTAAAAGTGTACCGGGTACTAACGCTGCTAAATATGTTTATAGTAGAAATTAATGCTCAAGATATGAAACTTCATGCGCTGTTCGCGAAGTGAGGTTCATCGAAACTCGCAACCTGCATAATCTATTCGTTTTTCGAAAACATCCTTAGCAGTGCCACAGTAGATCCTCACTATAACTCTACGAGGTTCTCATCTACTCCTGGAAAAAAGAAGATTTTGAAAACAAGACAGACGTAGCAAGATATGACGTGTCCCCTCCCAGACCCCCTCCCCTTTCCAATGAGATGTACGTACATCTGGCTAACAATGAGAATTGTTGTGAGAATTTTGCGCTAATGAAAGCAATTGTCCCAGACATCCTGCAAAAAGCTAGAAATCTTGATACTAGGGAACCTAGAGTTGCGTAGTTCATATATGAGCAAGCATTTTACTTCAAATCTTGTGTTCAAGAATACAACAATATATCGTGACAGCAGTTTCGCAAAAGATCAACAAACATCTAATCATATCTCTACCTTTATAAAAACACATACAACGTTACTGACTAAAATCACCGTGTCCCGAAATCCCACCACAACGATTCAGAATCTTGGAAATTTGTTAGGCAGCTGATGTGCAATGACAATTTGACGCGAAGTTTTTAACGCACTTGTGGGGAATGAAGAGCGATGGGTGATCAATTTGTGCCAGCTAAATTAGGCTAGCCTTACTATAAGCTACCTTAAGATTCGAAGCTGTTCAGACAAGAAAGTTATTAGCAATAAACGTTCGATACTTTTTGAGATGCCTTGTATACATTCACAACCGGATCGCTTATCAAACTTTGATCATTTCTTCGTGCTCCATTGAAATAGCATAGAAAGTGGGTGGGATAGTTTGAAGAAAAAGGTTGTGTGGAACAAACGCTGTTAAGGCTGAAAATTTTTTAGTTTGACACTGCAAACAATGCATCATTCAGTCTATTTGGTACATAATCGTTCAGCGGGCAGTTGCAAAATGTTGCCATTTCGTTGTTATGCGCTGACAATGGGTGTCCACAAGAACGTTGAATTTTAAGGGGTGAGCAGCCGAATAATATTTGGTTTACTTATCACTGCTACGGAAAACTTGACAGAATGCGAAATCAGCTTTGCTGTATTGCAGCTGTTCTGAAGCTGTGCACAAGCAAACCTTTGGTAGTGTTTCTTGCCTTTTCAATCGCACTTTTAATTTTCAGTTTTCCTTCTGCTGTTGCTATGCGGACTACTGCAACGCTGGATCTCTAGACGAGCTTGAAGGAATCTATGCAACGAATATAGGAAACAGCCCAATAGGATTCGCCTATGGATTGTACACTGTCTTAACTTTGGCTACATTAATTCAATGATTTGCGTTTGTGCACTGAGAACGGGTAGCTTTCTGCTATCCGAACCTACTTTTGCGAAGAGATTCTGCCCCTTTCGCAGTGCCAACTGCGACAGGCTTTGATAGATTAAGGAGTCAATTTGAACCCACTAAAAAATTCGGCTTACTTGTTCACCGATAAGTATAATTCACCTGTTTACTTCGAACTTCCCTAAGACCTATCGAGATAGGTAAGGCCGATCTTTCGTTCTCCACATTGAAACGTTTGGACAGTAAACAACGAAAACATCGAAATGCTCATAAGAAGTTTTATTTTTCTACTTTGTGTGAAGAACGCCAAAAGAGTTTTGGAGTGACAGTGTGCTACGTCACCGCGTTGGCAAAGATGTTCAAACATACTAGTGTGACACATATTATACGAAAATTGCTAGCAATCTGATGACCAACGTAAGCTCGGTAGCATTGTGCTGTTCATTCCATTGCACATAGTCTCTTTCTATTGTTGAGATTTCCAACTTTCTGATCACTCTTCAACCTTGATTTTGACTTCTACTTCCTAAGAGAAAACTGTTAGGTTGTTGCAAAAATAATGTCCGTTTTTCTAGGCGTATATTTCAAACAACTTTTTTTCCATCAAACTTCCTTTTTCGATATAGAATTTGCATATCATTGATAAGCCCTCTCCATGTATTTTCTAACGATGGTGGAAATAGGCTGCTATCCTCATCTGTGAGAATTTCATCAGCATCTCGCATAAGTGCACTCAAAATTAAAATTTCGATGCTTGAGTTTCCGTGGCCACAATTCGGGCGCAAATGAACGAATTCTTCTGAAAACATAGCATTTCTATTGGATGAAGATTGTTCACCTACAGCGTGCTTATATAGATTTTTGGAGATATCTGGACTGAGAAATGGACGTCTCGAAAGAGATACTTACTGCTGGCATTCTATGGATCAGAAATTTCTCATAACTAAGGCAATCGCCAAAGCTTCGCTCATTTCTGTAAACTTGAGATTAGCATACCTCAACTACAATATTTGAAGAGAAACTCAGCTATTCACTGCGCGAAGAATTTCAAATTTTTCCAATTTGACACTTATAAGCCTACAACAAGTAGGCTTAGAAAAGTGAACTTTTTTGAATTTTTGTCTTTTGTTTTCGCAGAACTCTATCGTCGGAGTCTTCTCTATACCCTCATAAACTCTTGATCTGCTGCTACAAAATAAGCTGATTGCCAGCCATACGAACAATACTTGAAGGGGGTTGTAAGCTCTCAAAGAAGAGGTTTTTGAGAGAAAACCTTTTAACTTTTTGACGCGTGGTTTTCTTCCCAACTGCGATATCAGTATGAGCAGGCGCGCGCTAAATTAAGAAAGGTTTGCTGTTTCTGATGGTCTTGACTGCATTCCAAAATATGAAGACTGAACGAAGCTATAGCCCTCCAAAGTGAAAATTTGCAAAACGGACATTATTTTTGCAACAACCTAATAATTAGTTGTCCGCGATAGCCTATTCTTCGTGTAGCTGTAAATTAATGGAAGTAGTTGATATCAGACATATCTGCATTCTCCTAATCAGTCTACTCTGTGTGCCCTTACGCTTTGAGTAGAAGTGCAAAAAATTAGGAAATTGAGGCAATTGATACCTGTGGCCGTATTCATCATTGATACCTTGAGGTAAATTCTACCTCAAGGTAGTTTTATCACTCATTATCAGCAATACCCGTATTCACAAAAGTACCTTGAGGTACCTCAAGGTGTTTAGTATTGAACGGAAAGTAAATTTTACCTCAAGGCACTGTTATCACTCAAAACCCGTATTCATCAAACGGACTGCATTTACCTTGAGGTAAATTCTCAATGCAACTTCTAACCCTAGCTGGAAGCAAGGTTAGAAGGATACGTTTAGAGATCTATAGACTTTCGGAAGCTGTTTTTTGCGTGAGTAATGCCGTAACGTAAATTAGGTCACTGTGGCAGTTTTGCGAAATTTTGCTAAGATTATTGAGAGTTATGGGGGTTGAGCGAAGTTAAGACAAAATTTCAGTCTATATTCTTAGAAACTTCATACTTTTTAACAAACGCGTGGATGGATGTAGTCGTACGCAGGGTTATTCTCTTTCACAGCATCTTGAGCACATGTTTAATCATAAAGTCGAAGTTGCTTGATGAAACTACTTTGAAAACATCTTGTAGACATTACCAAATGGTGACGTGTACTGCAACGTAACCCTCGATCCCATTTCCTGACTGGTCATATCGGATTTCAAAGGATGATTTCACCAAAATGTTTGTATTTCTAATACACACTGTTCCACACTTGAGCAGAAAGTAAGAGCTAGCTGTTGAATGCAAAAAATAGACAAATGTTTCTGGTTGAGCAGGAAAATTTTATCTCAACTGTTCATTTACTCACAACGCACACATGTGGGTTTGAACATTTATAGCTTTGAACAAAAAATATTCCCTAAACCCCGAAAGTGACCCATTAGGGAACCGTCTGTACATACTTTCAATGATTATGATTTTGAAGCTTTGGAAGTCAAAACTTTACCACTTTTGGAGTAATCGGGCCTGTGTGAAGAAAGAACTCAGAACGAGGCAAAAAACATTTGGCGGAATTTTGTGCACCATAAAAATTCGCAAAGTACTTGAAAAAACATTATCGGTAAAAACCTCATCAAATAGGGCAGGTTTTAATTCAAACCTAAAGGGATTATGAAAAAAATTACTTTGACAACTTGGAAGCTTTCGTTAAGACTACTCTCTTGATAACTGTGCAAGAAGAACTTTTTCTAGAAAGGTAGGTTCCATTGTTGTAGAAACAATATCACGAGATTGAAATCCGACTTAACTAGAAAGCAATCAACTTCTTGTTGTTAGATGTACAGTACAGTGTACATGTTTCTACATTTTGCTAGGCTGAAAAATGTTTTAGTGGGAAGTTACCAGTATAGGGCCGTCGCTAATAGGGTTTAATGTGCAATCTCACATATTAAGTTACAAATGACTCGAGGTTATGTAGTTTGAACAAAGAAAATGGCCACAAATTCCCTTTGATCTTTTAAAGGCAGCGTCCGTGCAAAATTTCGTCGCTCATGTTTCCGCCATTCTGGGGCCCTGTCCGTGGCCCTGATTACGGACAGGGCCCCAGAATGGCGGAAACAGTTGTAAAGTCCAAATTGTTCAAAACTCCCAAAAAACCCGGTTCTTGGGGACCCTCTCTTCAAGGAGCGGACGAGTTTCGAATTGCTCGTCCCCATCGTCATGCCAGCAGTAGGAGCTGCAACTGCACGGATGTAGTCGCATTGCGTTATGCAGTGCAACTGCAATGCAACTGCAATGCAACTGCAATGCAACCGCACACCTGCGTAAGCACTCGTCCTCAGGGGTGGTTTGTGATACGAAGGGGCGACTTGTGGTACGTATCACAGGCCCGTATCTCCTCTTAGAGGGAACGTCAAAGGATTGGACCAACGCAGATTGGATACTCATGGGCCCCTCTTTACATATGTGCTAATCTGGGTGGATGGATCATGCCTGGACGCTGCCTTCAAGACCTGAGACATTCACATTTTATCGTGTTCAAACATGTAAGGGTACTTCGAACCGTCTCCCTGTGAAAACATGTCATCTCAGGCCAGAAGGACACAATTAGCAATAAATTTTGTTCTAGCAAAAATTCCGTTGGCAATAAAAAAAACTTTATGCACCGCTTAGGCCCGTATGCACGTACGTCCCCGCTGGGGAGGGGAGGGGAGCTGGATCCCCAGGGGAACGATCCCCTCCGCCGAACCCCGCCATGACAGAGGGGAGGGGAGCGATCCCCTCCCCTGCACCTAAGCGGGGATGGTGTGAATGGTTTCTGAGGTATTGATCGAGCGAACCCCAGTGCATACGGGGTTCGAATGGGGGAGGGGATCCCTTCCCTTCCCCCACTCGAACCCCGTATGCGCGAATTCAACTCAATAACGCGGGGGAGGGGATCGGCATCCCCTGCAACGAAGTAGGGGTTCGATGGTGTAGATCATGCCAGAGACGCGGATATTCTGGTTCTGCTCAGTCATTACCAAGCATTTCGTTCATTTCGATGGAGGATTTTTTTTGAAAGCCGGGTTCTTCTCTCAGCGACCTGTGGCTTGCAATTTGTCTTTCTTTTCTATATTCGCCTCTTAAGAAGAAATCCGAGCAACAATAGCTGCCATTTTCGATTATTTGTAGGAGTTCTTGATCATTCAGGAAATTTGCGCATTTTTCATATAACATAATAGTTTTAACTATATAGGCTGAGTAAACACATTGTAACTTTCATATTTCATGACATGTTGCCATTATCTTGTTATTTTAACATAAGCTGCCTCGAAAAAATCTAGAAAGTAGCATATTTGCCTATTTCTGAGTAGAAATCCCCTGGGGAGTGATCCCCTCCCCAGCGTTCCCCTTGTGCATAGCAGGGATCGCTGCTGGGGATCATTCCCCTGGGACAAAGGACGATATGCAGCTGATAGTTACAGCGTTTATGGAGAGCTGACACAATTTGCAGCTTCTGTTATGTGTTAGAATACTGCTTTGAGCGTCCGCGCGGCACCCCCCCCCCCCCTTTTCGGCGGCATAACGTCTTCTACCCATTCCCTTGCAGAGACACATCAACTTCTATAGTTCAACATTTTTACGCTGAAATGGAGCAGCATGAGCGAAAGTGGGCAGCATCCAAGAAAGCAGGAACATAATGGGAGTACAAAAAATCATTTTTAGTGCCCCGAGCCCAGTCACTGCATACGCGCATTCCGCAACCCTAAATTAATGAAAGTGAGGAGATGAAGATGAGTTGCAGTCAAAATATGAAATAAGAAAGTGTTTTTCATGGAAAATTTGAAAGCAAGGTGATTTCCCCGCTTGATCCCCTCTTGTGCATAAGAGGGTTCACTTCCACTCCCCACAGGGGATCCCTTGTCCGATATTGTCTTTGTGCATACGGGGGTTCGCGCGGGGAGGGGAGGGGATCCCCAGCGGGGATCATTTCGATGGTTAAGCGCACATCCCCTCCCCGCGGGGATGTACGTGCATACGGGCCTTAGACTCACAGCGTGGTCGGAATAAACGTCACTGAATAGCAGACTAGCAAAGGTAGAATTTACCTCAAAATACATTGTTGAATATGAATCGCTCAAGGTACAATCTACCTTGAGGAATTTACCTCAAGGTAAACTTTACCTTAAGTTCAATGATGAATACGGCCTCTGGTATCGTTTATCCTTTGCAATCAAGCATTCACTTATTTTGTACACCAACTCCGATTTCCTAGCTCAAAGCTCGAAGAACCGTCAACTGTTGCAAGCAGAGAGCGTTTCAAATTTTTTGATCAAATTTCATTATCAGTTTAAGGCTGCGGCATAAAAGCTTTCCTCAGGCATCAGATGAAAGGGCTATAGTCAAATAACTTGTAGCTCGGAGTCCACTAATACTCTGATGAACAAACAGCTGATGAGGAATTGGAAGTACGATGCGTCCACCATGTAAAGTACAGGCATTTATTCAGACTCCAGCAGCAGTTGTACTGAGTCTGCTTCACGACCGAGGCGACAGTGTAGTTTCTGAACCCTCCCTTCTGACTTTTACATATTTAAGAAGTACATTTCAGACATTTAAGGAAGTAATTCTGGCAGATTTGAAATTATTAGCAGATACGCATTATTTGAAGAACAGTGTTTGATTGTGCAGTGGGAGCAGAATAACGTCTCTCACTTAGTCCATTAAACTGTTTAGAGATAAAGTTGTTTATCGGCGTTACAGAACCTCTCAAGTGATGTGCATCTTACCAAAAAAGACTACTTTGTGCAGGATAGAAAACTTTATCTCGCTAGTACATCATACAAAGCATTCCAACTCCGGCTGGTACTTCTTGACATGGCAAATGTTTATGTGTAATACTGCTTCAGAGAAGACCAAGATCCGTATCAATTTAATAGCTGAGGTTCTAGGAATTTCGCCTTAGAGCCTGTAAAGTCGAGGTTCGAGTAGTTTTTACTCTCTGATGTCAATAAAATACAGCTCAGTTTTTGAACGAGATAGAATAGACTACGTTAGTTGATACCAACCTTGGATGACACTCGAGAGCCGCATGGAACACATCCTAACACGATCATTCCTTCGCTCTTTTCATATGTGCTGATCTCGTATCAAATGCGTATAAGGATTTATTTAACTATTTATACAGGGTGTCCCAAAAAAAGTGCACACTATTCGATCGTTAATAACTCCCTTGCTTTCATGTCTTTTGCCGAGCTTGAGGTACCGTTCTGTGGAGCGAGGTTCAACATAAATTTTTACAGTATGAAGCGAATTATCAGTTTCTCTTCATTATTGTAGGATTACGGTAGGAACTTCGAGGAAGCTTTTGAGCCATTAAAAGAGGTATGTTATCTCAGAGAGAACACCTAGCAAGCCATAAACTCTTGAATTGGGCTACATGAAGTCGCTGATACTGATATATCTTGAAAGTTGAACTTCAGTATCGTGATTCTTTCATAAGTTATTTCAGCTTTAAGGTAGCAACTGTTCTTCCAATGTTCACCAGAAATGTGATTACGTCATCAAGAAAGCTTGAAAAACTGGTAAAAAGTTATTTAGTGAAGTCAACACGCTTAAAAACCTTGCTACACAGACTTTTAGATTTCTTCAAAATAATTTCATCAAGAGGCCTATTCCACAATGACGCTGTATGCTAAAAGTTCGGACCGTAATCCTACAGTAATGAAAGGTGATTCGTAATTTGTTAGTATAAATCTAAGTTGAACCTCGCTCTACAGAGTGGTACCTCAAGCTCGGCAAAGGACGTGGAAGCAAGAGAGTTATCAACGATCAACAGTGTGCACATCTTTTTGGGACACTGTATTATTTATCTGTTCAGCATATCACTATAATATTAGGTTGGTCCGAAAGTTCTGTCCCTCTATTTTCAAAAAATCATAACTTCTTCCTAACACATGTTTTTGCATGGCTAAAACCATATTATAAAGAGCAATTCATGCACTATCTAAAACTACCTTAGCTGCTATCTAGCAAGCTCTGATTGCAGAGATAAAATTGGGATGAAATCACTTCAAGTTCGGAATTTTTGAGCAAGCCTGTTAAAAAATGCAAAACTGTGCCATAAAATCCAAAACAGCCAGTGACCTAGGTTTTCTGATCCCCTCTTTCTATACAAGCAGAATTCGCGCTGATGGGGCTTTTCCTGGAAAAGTTATTATTTTTAAGAAAAATGCCAAAAAATCAGTCTCTTAAGAAAATTGATTTTAGACATTTATTTAAAAAAATCATAACTTTTTAAGTAATAGCTCGATCAGCAGGAACTTTGAAAGATTTGGAAAGAGGGAATCAAAAAGTCTAGGAGAGTGGCTATTTTAGTTTTTAAGGCACAGTTTTGGATTTTTAACAGGCTTGCTCAAAAATTCCGAACTTGAAGTGATTTCCTTCTCCCAATTTTATCTCTGCAATCAGAGCTTAGTAGATAGCAGCCAAGGTAGTTTTAGAAAGTGCATGAATTACTCTTTTCAATATGGTTTTAGCCATGCAAAAACATCGTGTTAGAGAGAAGTTATAATTTTTTGAAAACGGAGGGACCGAACTTTCGGACCAACCTAATATAATGCGCTAGGAGTGAAATCCGATAGCGCGATGGCTCTTGCGTGTTGGCAGTGCACTCTCTTAGCGTACACTTCGGATTTCTCGCGTATATCCAAATCACCTCTAAACTTTTGTGTGAGTTTATCAGTCGACCAATTTATTTGATCTAAGTCAAAAACGCCTCTGAATCCGCATGGGGCACGGCAATGTAGCATTTCAAATTGGAGTCAAGATCTTATCGTTCGATCTGACACTCTAGCACGCAGGACTTCAGAAGCGTGATATACGGAATGCATTCCCGTCACGCGAAAGCTATCGTGCTACAGTTTTTATGCGGATTTGATACGGAGTCAGCACACGTAAAGCAGCGATACTCGAGCTCTCATTAGAGGTTAGTGTCAACTAGCGTAATTCTCAGAGTTACTCCATTTCAGTCGAATGTTGAGCTGTATCCTTTATTGAGGTCCGAAAAGAAAAATTATGTTTTCGACTATACAGGCTCAAACGAAGGCGAAACGCCAAAACGACAGCCATAAAGAATTGATGCAAGCCTGCGTCTCTCCCGCGCGCGTGCTTTCTATCATCACTTAGGCTTAATTAGGTCAAGAAGCCTCGTCCTGCCAAACCAGTTTAATCAATCAATGGCATGTGCTTCGAAGGGTAGTCCTCTACCCCTTCGAAGCAAATGCCTTTTCTAGTCATATTGCGTAGAGATGTAGTCAAGCTTGCTTGTGAATAACTTCCGTACGGGGTGATGGACCGATACAGGAGTTTGTAAGAGTGGCTGCCATTTGTTAACCATTAAGCTGCACATAAAATCTTCTATTATCTTGGTTATCAGCCTACATCGGTTGACGCTGTGGGCAAATCTGTTGGGAAATTATGTCAAAAGATATTTGAGGAGATTAAGGCAGATTTATGCTCAAATGACTACGGATAATAAAGCATGTTTATTATCTAAATTTAATTATGTTTACAGTCTGACATAAGCATGATAGGTAATGACTTCAGTGACTAAATGTCTTTGATATGAATTTTGTAACAAGCTTCCTTATTGTATTATCACTCGCCTAAAAATGGAACAATCTAATAAATAGTGACTGCCATTCACTTGAATTCAAGGCGATAATAGCATGCAGTTCCCCATGGAGTCACTTACCTTAGATAGTGCTGTTCCTCTCTTGACGTCACTGGGTATTGCTTTCTCTCTTGGGTTTTTCTGTAATAGTCAAAAGTAAAGGGAATTGTAGAAAGTAAAGCCAAATGAGTTTACAAGCTTGAAAAAAAGCATTAGAGAGCTATACACTAGTTCCAATCAAAGAAGAGAATTTTATTCTTGATTTCACTCGAACAGCATTTTACTCTTGTCTTGACCAAGGAAAAATCTACATGTTAAAGCCGAACAAATGTTAAAGTGATGTAAGTGCTTCAGTAAATTATTTCGTTTTCGGAATAAATTGGTGGTTACCTTACCCCTATTCTCAATCTTCTTCTCCTTTTCCTTCGTCGTCGGCTGGCAGCTGTAATAACTATAATAACACGATTTTACCAGGTAGGAATAATTTAGGTCGTTCACGCTGTTTGAGGGTATTTGGCTTGGTAGTTGCGAATGTATAATTTGACATCGTACTTTGGCAATGAACTTGTGAGTTCGATGAAGAAAGGAGGGAAACTCTGGTACAATTTTCGCAAATTTCCGCACAACCTGCCACATACAGTCGTGCTCCCACAACAACAAACGCTTCCAACTCAGATTCTTAAGGTTACAAAGCAATTGCAATTCCCACCACAAAGAAAAACCTATATAAATGCAAGATAGAACTTCTTTTCTGTTTCTATAAGCGCAGGGAAGATTGACTAAATTGCTACCGGAAATTTAGAAATTGACAAAATACGCAGAATCCAACCAAAATGACAAAATGACATATGGAAGGTAGTGCCAGGTACAATCCAGGTAGTTCTCCTAATTCATATAATGTACTAGCTGGCCTGTCCGGTTTCGCCCGCATCGTGGGTCTAACTGGCTCAACAAAAAGTAAAACTGGTGCGTGACTTCAGAGGCTCAAATTACCTGCGATTTGGCTTTTTTTATTACTCATGATTAACATAGGAGGACACCCCTTGACCCCATCGCTTTGAATTACCGCATCCCGGGTATGGTGAGATGAAAATAAGTAATCGCTATTGTTTACGCAAAAGTTAATGGTGGTTTGATAGTAGCCGATAAGTCTTCATTTTTATTCAAAATCGATAAGTCAATAGAAGGGATGGGAATTTCTTCGCGAGAAGTAGCCTACGAGAAGGGCTGGTGTCGAAAACATATGTGTGCAAAGTTTGGCGCTGATCGGTTCACACACGAAAGTAACAATTTACCATCACTCACAAGAGAAACGTGTTTAGTGGAAGTAGAATTTCCAGTTGAGTCCTATACCAGTTTAAAGAGCATTGCACGCTAATTCCACATGTGCTTCTATTATCTGCCAAGCATCGACGCTGAGTTATGAGTGTTTTTTGGAGCAAAAAATGAACGCAAAATCTATGTAAAAACAATTTTTACAATTTTTTATGCTCACAACTAGAGCAGTGCTGAGTGTAAGGGTATTAAATGGAAGTTATTCATTGAAGTGCTTTGATTATTATCACCTGACCAATTGAGCAATTCTGGAAGATGTGTCGATTGCGCATTCAATTTTTTGATACAAAAAGCTCATAACTCGGCCTTCAAAGGCGCCCGGCAGATAAGAAAAACGGATTTAGAGTCACGTTCAATGCTCTACAAATTGCTATAGGTGACATGTGAAAAGGTCACCTAACTAAATACGCTTCCCTTGTCAGCTTTATATGTGTACCAGTGCTTCACCTCTGCTTCGCAGAGGTTCGCACTGGCATCGTGAACCGTGGTTAACTCACTTTCTGAGAGCTTGTCTCTCAAATCATTGTTCGGTTTATTGCAAAGTGAGCCGTAGTCAAAAATGAACCATACTCGCTATCTTAACCTCACATAATGTTTAGTATCGTAAATCATTCCTCACTGTAATTTCGTAACGGACAAACTCCACACAACTTCAGATTAAGCCGCTTATTATAAGTCATGATAGATTATCATAAGTTTGTTAATTATGATACAAAGTGTCCCAAACACATTGTCTGGTCGTTAGATTCGGTCAGAGTTTGCCAGTGTTGCCGGTATTGAATGTGTTAAGTGTTGTCAGTGTTTAAAGTGTATAAGTGGGATTAATTATCTTGCTGTCTCATTGTTAGTCAATACTTCTGCAGGTTGGTGAGATCGGTTTAGAAAGAAAAGAATGGGCTCAAAAAAAACAAGAGGAGAGACGCTTTTGCGATTGCCTACGTCAAACAAATTCACTTTCGATAAAGTTTATGTGAGGATCTACTGCATGCGAAAATATCCATCCTCTTGCTCTCCAAGTAGTCTCATTTATTTCTTCCTCAACCGATCCGCATCTGCAGAATGGGTTGTGGAAGAATGAGACCGCGAGACTAATGATATCCACATTCGACACCTTCTCCACCGGCAACACTTCAACACCTGCAACACTGACAAACTCTGACCGATCCCTTAGTTACTGTCATGCTTTGATATCTTTCGTCAACCTCTAAGTCCACTCTGTAGAGCTGGCTTCGACTTAGATTTACAGTATGGAACAAGTCGTCAACTCTTTCCAGCACTGTAGGATTACGCTAAGAAATTCGACAAAGATTTTAGGCATTGAGAGCCATATGCTGCCACAGAAAGAAGACTAAGCAAATTAAAAACTTATGTACTAAGCTAACCGAAGTCGTTGATTTTGAAAATAAAATTTCTAGTTTACAGTGATGCTTCTTCAGTTATCCCCGGTAAACCGTGATAAGTGTTTTTCCAACATTTGTTAGAAATGTGATTACATCGTCAACACAGCTCTAAACATTTGTAAAAAGTTGTATAATGAAATCAGCATGCGTGAAAACCCTACTTCACAGTTTTTCGGTTTTTGAAAAAAATATTCGACGGCTCAGTTTACAATGCTTCTATATGCTGGATGTTCTTAGCATAGTCCTGCAGTAAGCGATCGGTGATGCGCTCCATACTAAATTCAACTTAAAGCCAGCATTACAGAATGTAACCTATAGATCGGCGAAAGACATCAAAGCAAGAGTGCTATTGACGACCAAATAGTTTGCACATAATTTTCTGCCACTCTTTATAGTGGTGAAGATCCTCTAGCAAGTATTCGTTTTCCCCATTAACATGAAGGTTATGTATCCGCCACCAGACAACAACCGCCCTCCATCTTTAGTCAACCTTAAAAATCTACATAGACTAATGTCAAGACCTTGAAAGCATTTGTAAATCAATATGCGTATTGCACAACAAGTGCGCATTGACGAGCTTTCAGTTAGGATTTGCTCATTGTCAGCGATTCCTTGTTCCTTGCCTCTTTCGTTTTGATTGGACATGTGTTAGTCAATAGTACAGTTTGTTACGCTGAAAGTTTCCACCAAGAAGCTACTAATAAGGGTGCCATCGGTAGTCGCGCGTTGTGTGCAGAGTTACATAGTGAGTTATCAATGGCTAAACAATTAGTATCTTGAAACTATTTGCCTTACCTTCAGAGTCCTCAACAGCAGTAATTAGATCCAGCTCTACCGCTGACTGCAATGGGGACTTCATGGTGTAGACGGGTTCAAATCGCTGAATTAACGGCCCAAGATTGCTTTCACCGCATGAGTCGAGAACTTTCTTCAAGAGAGTGCTAAGGGCGAACTCACCAGTTTGTTCTTTACGCGAGCATATTTAAACGCCTCGCGGGCCCCAATTTCGATGGCGTCGTCGCCCATAATGATGCCATCGGCTGGAGTTCCCGCTGGCTTCATTGCAGCACAACTGGGGTTGGTGACGTGATGCAGCGATGACGGCCTTTCAACAAGAAATGTACAGAAGCCATCTCTTTCTTGAACTGCACGAATCCTGTTCCTGAGGGCAACCATATTGACTCGCGGAGGAATCTGGAATGTTACTTAGGAAATGGGATTCAAAAAATAACTTTCCAAAGTAAGAGTTTCTCCCGATATTCATTGTCAAAAGGGAGTATCAATAAACCCTGGAAAGAAGTGAGACAAACGAGATAAAGTTATCTGAAACGTCGTTTTAGAGGCTAGCATAGCAGTATCTCAGATTTTGCTATCTCGCCAAAGCAATTTCGGCTTGCATCCGCTTTTCTATAAGAGATTCTGAATTCTAGAAAACCTTGTTTCATTCGCTTTGTCTGAAATCCGCCAAGGAACAAAATTCATAATGGTGAAAAATCAAGTTTGGAGTATGTCTGGAAGTTTGAAAATCTAAAATCTTGCGAAGGACTGAAGGGGAAATGAGCGGTTTCCAGGTATACTTGCTAATTTCGTGCTACATTATTTAAGACCCTAAGCCTTTATACAAACTCTATCAAGCAAGGTGTACCTGATGTAGCAAAACTATCTGCAAGTGGAGTGTGCAAAAATCTTTCAAACCAACTGAGCTGTAAGAATATTTATTTTCTAACCTAGGCATAACAGATGTACTTGATTTACCCGCTTGTTAGCAACTCGTAAGTTTGGTAATAGAGGTATAAAGCACAAGAGTAATACCTTATCGGAATCCACATCGATTATTCTGTCAACTGCGAGAAAAGCGAAAGCACCCATAGTTTGTGGTTCAAGCTGCAAGCACAATATTTTGGAAAGTGCAAAATTTTGATGCCAACACTTTGAGACTCCTACAGCTACTCATACTTGCAGATCAGCTTTCTAGGTCATACCTTCGATAGTCTAGAGATAGGGCCTCAATGAAGGTTGTATATACCTGCCAGTCAAAATAGTGAAGGTTGTTTATAAAAAGGCAGAGAAGAGAAAAAAGATGCAAACCATACCCTCGATACATAGAGCCACATACTCTGGTAATCTTCACTTTGAGGGCTATGAGGGGACACAACCTTCACCTGGGAAAAAAACAGAAGTCATCCGGGGCTTCGCCCCGGATGTTATTATCCTGACTATATCGGAAGAATGTGAATGAACCAAATATAGGAAAGAATACTAAAGAATGTCTCAGCGAAACCGAAAAATTGCTTATTTGAAGCCTTTTTTACGCTGAAAAGAGAATTTCTGTGAAAATTTCCTCAGAATTCAGGACAAGGTTCCTCAGTTAGCCTCCTACTTGACCAAAAATGAGTTTCAAAAGTTTGGAAAGCTGTTGGAGTTGAATTAAAATGAGAAACTGCGCTTAATTGTGCGCAGAGAGTCGCGCACAAAAATGCTGGTCTATCTGGTTAGTAAGTACTTTTAAAGCTTGGGACGTTGTCAGCTCTCCTCGTCGTGTCATGACGGTCAGAATGATATATAATGTTACAGGGTTTCGTTGAGACTCCGACGAGATCTACGACCAGAGCCAAATGCCCCGTCGGCTCTGGTCTGTCTCCGCTGCTCATCTGCGTCTCCGCGCGCTGCGCGCTACCTCGCTACCTCAAACGCGGGGCGCGGGGCATTTGGCTCTGGTACCCTTTTCTTCGCTGTTTCGAACCCAATTTTAGCAAGCTATATATCATTCTGAAGCTCTTGATCTATATTTTCACGCTGACAACGTCCCAAAATCACATTTCTTGATTTGAACGAGAAATCCGGCAAGAACCTTGTTTTCGAAAATCTCTTGTTTTTCTTCTAGTTTACCTCTTTTTAATCGGTTTTTCCGTGCATTCTATAGATCTTGCTTCTGTTCATAATGCAGACAACCACCCAGCCTTTATCTTTTCGATTATCGTGGATTTTATTGCAAAAAATCGTAAAAAGGGCGTTTTTCTTTACCTTGTTCTGTTTCAGTGCTTTCGCATTGATTTTTTTCCAGCTTGGGCGACTATTGCTCAGAACAATAAGCGCAGCAATCCAGACAACGTCTCAGCAAACAGGAACGTCAATGCGGGGGTAAAAATTCAAAGGACGCATCAAAAATCTAACCCCGTGTTGCGAATTGCTGGTCCTGAAGCGAAAACTTGCACTTTGAAAAGCCGCCAAACGAAAGATTTCAAGCCTCATTGCAGCGTTTTTATCCTATTTTCAACAGTTTCTTTTGCTTTTTGTATCTGTTTTATGTCATTTCCTCTTCTCTAATCATCTTTAAACAACCTTCACTATTTATGACGTCAGATGTTCAAACAACCTTCACTTTTGACGCCCTGTCTCTAGACTATCGAAGGTATGATGCAAACAATCAACAAGCAGAAAAAACCTTCAAAAATTCCATGAAAACGCTGGATGAGTTCGAAATCTTTCATTTGGCGGCTTTACAAATTGCAAGTTTTCGCTCCAGGACAGCCAATCCACAGCACGGGGAGAAGACGAAAAAAAGCTGATTCCTTCTTGGTGATTGTTGCAAAAACAACCATGTTTTGGAAGGTGATTACTGTAAGGAGATATAAAAGAAGAGAACAGATTATAGAAAGGCAAAATTTTGTTTTTATCAATCCGAAATGCATGTCAAAATCAATCTAGTTTTTGATGCATTCTTTGAGATTCTACCCCCTTTTCGTAGTTTCTGCTTTCTGCGACGCTATCAGCTTTGTTCTGCTCATGATACTGAGCAAGATGCCCCTTAGCATGAAAAAAAAACGGTTCCTTAAAAAATTCTTTAAAGAGATGAACAAAAATGCACTTTCTAAAGTTTGTGTCAAATATTTCACCAAAATGGAAGAAATAAACTCTGTGACGTTGTCTACATCATAGACAGAAGCAAGATTTATCGAATGCCGAAAAAATCACATCAAAAGGACTAGACTGGAGAAAAGGCAAGAGATTTCCGAAAATGCGGTTTTTGCCAGATTTTTCGCTCAAATTAAAAAATTGAATATTGCAACGTTGTCGGCTTGAAAGTAGAGATCAAGAGCTCTAATATGATATACAATTACTGAAACGAGTTCCAGAACAACGAAGAAAAGGGCACCAGGGTTGAATGCCCTGTGTCTCGCGTTTGGGGTAGCGAAGTAGCGCACAACACGCGGAGACGCAGACGAGCAGAGGAGAAAGACCAGAGCCGACGGTGCATTTGGCTTTAATCTTAGAACTTCGACTTCGCGGGATCGTAACGAAAACCTGCAACATTATATATCATTCTGATCGTCATAACACCGCTAGGAACCCAGACAACGTCGCAAGTGTTGAAAATCACTCAGTAACAAGATAAACCAGCATTTCGTGCGCGTCTCTCTGCGCAAGATTTAGACGCAGTCTCTCTTTTTATTAACTTTAAGTTCTTTCGTGAAACTCTGAATCTCAACCTTAGTTCAAAAGGATTTTCCTGGATATTATCTTGAATTCTTGGAAAATTTTTTCAAAAGCTTCTTTTTAACACAAAAATGGCTATTAGAATGCAATTTTTTGGCTTTGCTGGGATATTCGAAGATGTTATTTTCCAAACTTGCTTAACAAGAGAACCTGCCAGAGCTCTACCAGCGAGACCACAGCTTCCATACTGGGTCTTCACTCCGGAAGCAAAGGCATCTTCTGTGGCGAAAATTCTGTCGAAATTGAGGCTTTCACCGTTTTTCATGGAAATTGTGAGAGAAGACAATATTTCACTCCAAAAACTGCTCAGCTACAAAGAAAGCCTGCCGGAGCTCAACCAGCGAGTGGCGAAAATTCTGTCGAAATTGAGGTTTTCATCGTTTTTCACGGAGATTGCGGGGGGGGGGGGAAGGGAGGGGAAAACAATATTTCTCACTCCAAAAACTGATCAGCCACAGAGAAACCCTGCGAACAATGCAATTTTTTACTGTTCAGTTGCTCTTTGGATTGGGAGTTTCGTCAACTTTTCACAAAATGTTGAGTTCTGACGACTATTTTAAGAAGAGTTGCAATGCTCAGATTTCATATCATACTATTATGCAATATGGTCAAGGGGCGGGGGAGGGAATTTTTGGAATGATGCTGGAACGTAGCTAAGGACATGAAAAGAAGAGGAAACGTGTATTAAGCAGTAGAGATTGTTCCAGCTGTGAAAGCCGTGATCAAACCGAACATACGGTATTTCATCACAATTCGTCATCGCAGGCAAAGTCAAAACACGTGCCGTCATCGCATGCGGTGTAGAGCGCGATCAATAGTCAAATGTCGAGACAACCCTCTCCTCTCGAGCCAGTCTGCAGATAGGAGTAAACCGCTTCTCTAAAATTCTCATTAAAATTCTGTAAACTCTGCGAGAGAGTGTGATGTCTTGCGCGCTCACACTGTCAACAACTCGCCTTCCGCAACGTTGAAGGGGGGCGTCGGGGTGGGTGAACGATGTGTAGTTTTCGTTGTCTCGCCGAATGTTTCCAGTTTATATACAGGGTGTCCCAAAACAATGTGAATACTGTTTGATCGTTAATAACTCCCTTGCTTTCATGTCTATCGCCGAGCTTGAGGCACCATTTTGTAGAGCGAGGTTCAACTTCGATTTATAGTATGGAGCGGATCACCGATCGCTCCTCGTTACTGTAGGATTACGGTAAGAACTCTAGTATGTGAATCCCTAGCGAAATATGCCATTTAATGGAATTTTTTCCAAAAAATCTAAAAAATCGTGTACTAGGGTTTTTGAGCACGCTGATTCCACTGCACAACTTATTACGAGTGTTCTTAGCTCTTTTGACGGTGTAATCACATTCCTGACAAATGCAAGGAATTCAGTTATTACGATTTAACTGGGATAACCTTGGAAAAAAGCATCACAGTAACGTGGAAATTTCGTATTCGCCCAGCGGCTTCCATTACCATAGTATAAGATTTTTTGGCCTGTTTGGTTTTGTTTCGAAGCAGAATATGGCCTCTAGCGGCCTAAAATCCTTGTCAAAATTGCTGCCGTAATTCTACAGTAATGAGGAGCGATCGATGATTCGCTCCATACAGAGTATCTAAGCTGAACCTCGCTCTACAGAATGGTGCCTCAAGCTCGGCGAAAAACACGAAAGCAAGGGAGTTATTAACGATCAAACAGTGTTCACATTTTTTGGGACACCCTGTATAGGAGATGGCCAGGAAAAGAATTTTTAGGTAATTCATGTCCTTCCCTTCTTGACGTAGACATTTCGATGTTGATGCTTTCATACAATGTCTACTCCAAATCCAAACATTCGCAGTAGTAATTTCAATGGATTATATTTTCGTTTAAAATGTTCTCATCTTTTTACGCACTGGATCCAGCGCAATATCAATGGAAATGCAGATGCACTGTAGGAAATACTGACTTCTAAAGATACTTGTGATGGATGTCGTCTAGACAAAGATAACATTCTAAAAGACTGCTTTCTTTGTGATCAAAGTTTTGGATAATGCTCTTGCGTTTTGTCTTTCCAAACTTGAATAAAGCGGAACCGCCGCGACGTCGCTCTGTAGAATATATTCTCTAGCAGTCTTAGGCCCGTATGCACGTACATCCCCGCTGGGGAGGAGAGGGGATCTGAGAGGGGGTTACGTCATATCTCGCTACTCTATATGTCTTAATTCTTCTTTCTCTAACTTGCTTATAAAGTTTCATACCCTTATAACTGCGCATAATGGATGCCAAATTACTCCCATACAAGTTTGGTTTTTTGCCATTTTGTGTGATCTCTAGGGGATCCCAGGGGATCACCTCTCATTTTCAAAGTGATTTATCTTCCTGAGAAGTCAATTAAAACGCTGCAAAATTATACTGAGGATTTCCTACGGCGGTGCTAAGCATGTTTTTTACAAGAAATAGAGTTTGAGAACTGTGAATTTTTCGATGATCCCTAGCTCGCGAGCTAGGATTACCGAAGATTTCGATATCCTGATATTTCACTTATTTCTATTATAAACATCTTTATCAGTGCTGTAGTATTTCAACGTGAGATTTCACAGGTTCCACTGAGATCTCAGGAAGATAACTCACTTTGAAAATGAGAGGTGATCCCTGGAGGTGCCCAGGGGATCCTCAGGGGATCACACAAGGCAGTGAAAATCTAATCACTTATGCCAGTAATCTGGTATCAATTATGCGCAGTTATTAGGGTATGAGAACGTTCATAAGCAATATAGAGAAGGAAGAAAGATATTTAGAATAGCACATCTGACGCGCTTCTCAGATCCCTCTGGGGAGGGGAGGAGAGCTGGATCCCCAGGGGAACGATTCCCTTCACTGAACCGCTATGAAGGGGAGAGGAGCGAATAGCGACATCTGACGCGCTTTTCAGATCCCTCTGGGGAGGGGAGGAGAGCTGGATCCCCAGGGGAACGATTCCCTTCACTGAACCGCTATGAAGGGGAGAGGAGCGATCCCCTCTCCCCTGCACTTATGGAGGGGATGGTGTGATTGCGGTATTTGCTTCTACCTCACGGCTACTACAAAATCTCGCCAGAAAGTTATTTTCGGTCAATTCCCGTGTACCGGAATGGCTTTCGGAACAAAATGTACAAGAATGATGATTTTGCGTCCACTTATTGTTAGCAGTTCATGTTATGCTTTCCTCGCAATTTTGTTATGGCGATGCTTTTTCCAAGAGAAATTCGAGGATGCGCAGCATTCTATAGTTTTCCTGGTTTTTTTTTTCAAGGTGTACCAGTCATTCCTTTGCGGCGCTCTTTCGCTGCCTCAAATGCAGTATTTGGTTTCGAAGGAGTCTTGGTGTTGTACGAAACCCAGTGGATCTCGTCCCTTCTCCTCGTATGCACGAAAGTCGAATCATTTCATCTGATTATGTGTGTCTTTGCACACATTGTTGACCTTTGGCGCATCCTGGATTCTTAAAACAACTCTGTCCGAGGCCAAAGGTGGACGGTGTGTGCAGTGCACACATGATCATATGAAATGATTCGACTGTAATTCAACAACGTGGGAGAAGGGATCGACATTTTTTACAGAGTAGAGGTTCGATGTTGTAGGTCATGCCAGAGAAGCGAATATTCTGGTTTCAATCGATTTTTGATAAGCAATTCGTTCAATCTGGTGAAAGTTTTTTTGGAAGCCGGATTCCATTCTCAGCGATCCGTAGTTTGCGAATTTGCGTCACTCTTCTATTTTCGTCTCTTGCGAAGAAACTCGAGCATATATCTGCCAATTTCAAAATTTATAGGAGTTTCTGATCATTCATAAGATTTGTGCCTTTTTTCATATGACATGATAGTTTTATCCATATAGACTGATTAAACATATTGTAACCATCATATTATTTTATATATAAAGCTGAATGTCTGTTTGTATGTATGTATGTCTGTCTGTCTGTCTGTCTGTATGTCTGTGTGTACGTATGTTCGGAATAGAAAATTCCATTTCTGAACCGATCCGGACCAAACTTGGCACACATACACTTCGGGCCCCGGCGGGTGTCATAGGCTACTTTTCGTATCGATAGATATCGATTTTATCGATTTTTTTGCAAAATTTGAGCTACGGGGCTGGGATTTGGCACATGGGGGTAATCGAGCATGCTTCACCCCCGTGGGGGTGATCAGCATGCTCGATTACCCCCCTGTGCCAAATCCCAGCCCCCTAGCTCAAATTTTGCAAAAAATCGATAAAATCGGCATCAATAAATAACGAAAAGTGGACTGTGACACCCGCCGGGGCCCGAAGTGTATGTGTGCCAAGTTTGGTTCGGATCGGTTGAGAAATGGAATTTTCTATTCGGAACATACGGCGGAGCCGGGTATGCCAGCTAGTATGATATGTTGTCTTTGTCTTGTTATCTAAATATAACCTGTTTGAAAAAAAAAACTTAAAATTAACAGATTTTTCTATTTTTGTATGGAGGTTTGCGAGGGTGACCCCTCCCCAACTTCTCCCCCCCCCCGTGCATAGCATGGATAGCCGCTGGGATCATTCCCTTGGGTAATGGCTGATATGTCGCTTATACTAAAGCTTTTAAGGGGAGCTGGCAAGATATGCAAGCTTCTGTTATCTGTAAAAATGCCGGTTTGAGTGTGTACGTCCACTCCATTTTTCGGTAGCATACCAGCTTCTACCCGTCTTCTACTGTTCTTCTATTCTTCTATTCTTCTATACCAAAAGATGAAAATCCTATTATAATAACGAACTAAGTGTGTTTACGTGTTTTTGTGTGTCTGTCTGTCTGAATGTCTATCTGTTACGAAATTCGTAGAGCGTGCTCCCTGAGCTCAAATTTTGCATAGCACTTGCTACTGGCATGAAAGTCCAACATGCAAAAGCACAAGCAGACTTGCTGAGTGGGCCTCTTAGAAATTGCGTGTCAAACGGAAATGATATCCACGAAAGTCCATAATGGAGGAAAATGGACTTCCAAACCCCATTTTATTCGCTCGCGGTAGAAACTGGTCGGAATCTACATTCGCTAGCGTTATCCAAAAATTTTTACTTCATCGCAACCACGAGGCACAGCGGTGTGATGAAAATGATTCAACCCTACTTGAGCTCTCGCTTGCGAAAGAATCATGCGAAAAGTCCATTTAGAATGGGACAAAATGGGATTTAGCTCCATTTTAAATGGATTTGGAAGCCCATTTTACTCCCAGCAGCAAGGTAAGCTGGGAGTAAAATGGGCAAAAAGGCCCATTTTTGACCTTTTTGCACATTTTTGATGGCGATTTTTTGAGAATGTGTTCCTCAGCTCATTCTAAGGTAACAAATGAGTGGAAAAAGTTTCCTGTCTTTTATGAAGTCTGAAATAAGTGTTTTCTTTCTAAACTCATACAAACGCCATAAAAATCATGGAAGAAAGTTAAATTCACCAAAATATTCGCTAGCAAACTCAAACGCTTCCAAATATCAGGTCGATGCGAATATTCCTATGTAAATCGAATAAAGTTTGTTAACTCTTCAAATTATCAACCAAAACTAAATTCATGATTTGTATTTGAGAATAAGAAAGATTTGCGTTTTAATGCAATTACTCAGAAGCTATCTTTTGACTGTTATCGTAGAACCAAAGCTCAAAGACGGCATAAACGCGATTTTGAGATTGGTCGCAAGAATTACTGAAATGCCGCTAGCTAGCAAGAAAAATTTTGTGAAAAATTTTCTACTAGCAATGGTCCATACATTCGACTATTTAGAGATATTAACATTAATGCTTTTTACAAGGAAGAGCTAAAGTAGAACATTTGCGAAGTCATCCTTTGTGACTCGTAGTTTTTAAAGAACCCTTTGGGTTGTAGGGCAAGGTTTCCTACGAGATAAGCATTTTGCTTCACAATTGCAGTGCAAGTCTAGCCAAAGTTTGCTTTCCCCAGAAAGCTCTACATACGAATTTGACTTGAAGCAGATCATAGAAGTCTTGAGAAGCGAAGGCCCGGATATTATGTGAATTCTATTCTTGAAGATGTTTTCGATGCAAGGTTATCGATAACAAATGGCATTTTTTGATGTATAATGAAGTGTGAAAGCATAGAATATTCATGTCTCTGTCATCGTAATGTTAGGTCAGCCCTAGTTAGATACCGACTACTTGATAGAAATGAGTTTGCAAGAGTGAGTAAACAGGTTGAGGCAAGGTGGAGAAAGGTTTGCTGAAGAATTTTGTATGGAATGAATGGATTCCCGAATGCGATATCTTATCGCACCGCATGGACTAGGTCCATTTTATTCGCACGAAAAGCCCATTTCGCGGGGACTTTCGTGGATATCATTCCGGATCCACTTTGCATTTGGCCCACAAAATTAGGTCCGTAATTCTATCTTTTGCAGAATGGTGGATGTTTATGGCAAGTAAATGTGCAAGCCATGAACATAGACCTAAAAAAGTGATCAAAAGTTCATTACTTTACAAAAACGGCGCCAAACAGTATTGGTTCTTAAATGGTCAATTTGTCAAGGTTTTACTAGAGCATTTGACGAGATTTTTGCACAAAAATGTAGCTCACGGCGTTTATGTTCTTATGGCAACTGTCAGAACCATGGGAAAACTAAAAGCCCATAAAAATTTGCGTTTGTTCTCCTGCAAAAAGTTTCATCCGCCGAAATGACCGATTACACATGAAAAAACTTTCGGAATGAGTAGTTGTTTACATTTTATTCGTGATACTCGGCATTGCTTGGTGAATTTCAATGTCACCATTATGCGAAAATGAGTAGGGCCTAGGCAATAGAGCAAGTGCGATCCTCTCCGAAGCAGAGGTGAAGCACTGGTAGAGAAATAATTACTTTAGAGAATCGGAAGCAAAGTGATTTCCCCGCTCGATTCCCCGGGGGCTCACTTCTTCTACTGTTTTACCGAATTTAGAACTTGCAATGTAACAGAGCAGACATTATGCAGGCATCGAATTATTTCAAAAGCAAAGCTGCGGAGCCGGTTTCTCAGGGATACATACATTTGAAAACAATGAAAAGAATTTGATAAGTTTCGTGAAAGCTAAATTTTGCAAACTCATGCATGCTTTATTGATTTATTCCAGATTACTTGGTTGTTAATTCTGTAGTTGCTCATTATTTTTGTTGGAGTATAATACGTATCAAGCTCAGTAAAAAGCTACTCCAAAACCAAATAAATGCTACCTTTGTAAGATATAGACGACCATTACTGCAGCGAAATTCGTATCCAAGTCGCATACCTGTCAGTAACGGCAGGTCTAGAAGAGCTAAGCAAAACATTTCAGTTTCCAAAAGAAAAAGCTCCAGCCTACCAACAATCAAATAACAATATTTCTTGTGAGGCAATACGTTGTTCATTCGCTTTGGCGAAGGAGGATGAACATTCCAAGCTCGAACAATGCCCAAGACCACCTAGATTAAAAAACTCACAGCAATAGGATAGGAAGGATTTAGGACATCAGTGCACAAATTCTCATGTCACATTGACTAGGTGACTGCGGCATGAAATGGGATATATTGTCTTGAACGGGAAATAGTTAATTGGAAAATAAAAGCGAATTTTTCATGTGCTTTCTTCTTCAAACTTCGGCATTCAGTTACTTTGCGATTTGATTTGTACCAGATTCTTTTTATGGTGGACCTTTATTGCCTTTGCAGTTCTTTCAGGCCTCCGAAGGAAACGATACTTGTCAGACGTCAAGCAACAAATCCACCATAAAAAACCTCTCTGACACAAAATCAAATAACGCGATTTTTTTCAGAAGCTTTTGGCTGAAATACATCCATGAAGTCTTCATACTCTCCCAATTTACCTTCTCAGCTATAGTTACGTAATCGTTGAACTCTTGTAAACTTTTTGGGACCACTCCGTCACATTCAACAATCTGAAAGCAAATGGGTGCTCATATAGGGCGGCGGCCGGAGTTCTCAAAGCCTTGCCGCCTTTCCTTGCAGGAGTACTTAGCACCTCCAAGGTGTCATCGCATTTTTATGGCTCCGCCCATTTGCCGCCCTCTGGCTAGTCTAATTGCGAGTTTGCAAATTTGAAAAATAGTCCTCAAATGTTCTGGATAAATAATGGAGTATGGAAAGCGACAAACTAGAAATTATGAGTTTCAACATTTGAAACATGTTGTCTTTGCAACATAGGAGGAGAAATTTATTCTGAGCGTCTTTTAACCATGAGGTTATAGGCACCGCTCTGTCGGAAGTAAGGAAACTTCCGTTTTCCTATTTCCAGCCGAGATAAGTGTATGTACATCTTGATTGTAAGTGTATGGAGAGGAGAAGGTTGGAGAGGTTTGGTACTACTTTTGCAAAAACAATTTGAGCCAAATATCCGCTGAAATTTTGTGTACCAAAACGATTCTGCCCAGCCTACTATACTTATTAGATCGTTTCTACAGTCTGTCCCAATCCTAACCAGGCCAAAATTGGCATGGCGGGAGTCCGCGTCTCTAGGGTTTCGCGGTCACGCGCATGGCCTGCTTCTCTGCCCTCTCTTCAGTCCCTTGGCTCTCTCCAACAGCGCGCATATGCAGCGCAGACCGCTAGCGCTGCGAGCGCGCAAATTCACGCCGACGCTTTGGCCTGATCCCGATTGGGGCAGACTGTATATCTATGGTAATGTAAAGACAAGAACTGTGAAATATCTCTGCTAAATACCTCCTTTATATCAAAAATATCACTTAGTGCTTACTTTGAGATCTGTAAGGCTTTTCGGGGCTGTCAAAGTATCTTTGCTTATAAAATGCAATAGCGAGGATTTGCATTGCAAGGACATTTTCTATGGATTTTCACATTCATGCCTATACTATTCTCGCAGCACTCAGGCTCCGAATGAGACCAGTAAAGGAGTGAAGCGATGGGCGGGGCTTGAGATCTTTACTGAAGGTGCGAAAAGTCTTCTGGAGTGTGAATGTTGGTGCGATTGGAGGTGCTAGGAACTCCTGCGTCCCTCCCCTCCCTCATATAGCTATTTTTCATAACATACCTGATCACCAATAACCAGATCATAAAATGCTGGTGACGAGAAAGGGATAAAAAGCACTACGAGATTTTCTGTAATGGTTAGTTCCAGATCATCCTAAAAAAACGATGCTACAAGGGGATATGTCTAAACAAGAAACATAGAAGAAAGGCGCTGTCATTGTTGGAGTTGGTGAGATGACATGGATAGAGAAGTATAAAAACATAAAATTTGGAATCTTACGATGGTTTGCACTCGAACAGTGACGAATTTGTAATGGCAGACAGGTGGATCAGAGGAACGACGATAAGAACTGATTGCAGGCACAGAGGTGCTTTTTCGTGCACCTAAATAATTAGACGCTGTAGAGGTCATAGCTCATAGAAGGCAATTCATGCGTTTTCTAATTTTATCTTGTCTGTTATCTACTAAGCTCTAAATGCAGAGATAAAATTGGGAAAAAGAAATCACTTTAAGTTCGGAATTTTTGAGCGAGCCCGTTAAAAAATGCAAAAATGTGCCATAAAATCCAAAACAGCCAGTAGCACATAGGTTTTCTGATCCGCTCTTTCTATATGAGCGAAATTCGCGCTGATCGAGCTGTTTCTTTGGAAGATACGATTTTTTGAAAAAAATGTCAAAAAATCAATTTTTTTAAGGAACCGATTTTTTGGCATTTTTTATCGAAAATCATAACTTTTCTAAGAAAAGCTCAATTAGCGCGAATTTTGCTTACATAAAAAGAGGGGATCAGAAAACCTAGGATACTGGTTGTTTTGGATTTTATGGCACGATTTTGGATTTTTTAGTGGGCTTGCTTAAAAATTCCGAATTCGAAGTGATTTCCTTTTCCCAATTTTATCTCTGCGTAGTGAGCTTAGTAGATATCAGCCAAGGCAGTTTTAGAAAGTGCATAAATTACTTTTTCCAAAAGGTTTTTATTCATGCAAAAACATTTTGTTAGGAAGAAGTTATGATTTTTTAAAAATGGTGGGACAGAACTTTCGGACCAACCTAATATAATATATATCATAACTAGCTGGCTTACCCGGCTCCGCCGTATGTTCCGAATAGAAAATTCCATTTCTTAACCGATCCGGACCAAACTTGGCACACATAATACACATACATAGCATGCACCCACGGGGGTGACCAGCATGCTCGATTACTCCCCTGTGCCAACTCCCAACCCCGTAGTTCAAATTTTGCAAAAAATCGATAAAATCGATATCGATCGATGACGAAAAGTAGCCTATGACACCCGCCGGGGCCCGAAGTGTATGTGTGCCGAGTTCGGTCCCGATCGGTTCAGAAATGGAATTTTCTATTCGGAACATACGTACAGACAGACATACATACAGACATACATACAGACAAACAGACATTCAGCTTTATATATAAGATGTATCACATCAACTCATGCGACGCAATCAAGGACGCTCGCCGCGGACGCAGTCTGTGTGTTATCAAAGCAATAAAAGTAGAAGGCTGTACAGTAGAGGGCCCTACACTGAGTGAAGCCCGAATGTCGCTGCAAAAATTGAATTCAAAGCGAGAAAGTTACTTCAGCAGACAGAAGCGGTTAAGGTGCTCCGCCCATTAATCGCCAGGGCAGGCGGTCCGTAAACTCGAGCTTTTTTGCAAGCGTTTAGCAAAATCTTGGGGCGTGGCCAAGCCTTCAGCGAGAGGTACTTCCGCTCAGATAATCGCGGGGGCAGGCGGCCATGCCATTTTTGGGCAAGCGGGCACCGGAAAAATAGTTCGCTGATTTCTTGCGGTCCGCTTGCAGATATTTGGAAGAATTTTAGCGGAATTTTGGACGAGTGCTTGAAGAACAATTGCGGTTTCCTTACAGATTAGTTGCGGCGCAGTGGCCGCATTCTCACGGACTTTCCGCGAGAATATGCAAAATTTTCGGGGGCCGCACGGTCCTTTGTGGAGGACCGCGCAGCCCCCAGGTACTTTCTGCTGAGAGAAAGTACCTCAAACTTGAGTAATTAAACCATCGATGACTCCTCTGCCATGTAGAGCCTCACCTTTGCTCGGCGTACACCCGAAGCCGCTTAAAAACCGTCCGAGCGCCAGCTGAAAATTTGACCAGCGCCCGCTGAAAGAAATTATTTGCCGAGCGCCTGCAGAAAATTCTGTGTTCCTGCCCGCTGGCAGAACATTAGACAGTAAAGGAAGTGTCGCCCGCTGAAGGTTTGGCCACGCCCCAAAATTCTGCTGAGCGCCTGCAGAAAAACGCGAGTTTGCGGACCGCCTGCCCCCTGCGATTGTCTGAGCGTGTTCTGCTAGCGGGCAGCAAAACAAAATTTTCTGCAAGCGCGCGTCAAATAATCTCTTTCAACAAGCGCGGGTCGAACTTTCAGCAGGCGCTCGGACACCTTTTACACAGTTTCGGGCGTACGTCGTGCAAAAGTAACACTTTACACAACAGAGGTGCCATCGATGGGTCAATTACCCGAGTTGGGGTACTTTCTCTCAGGGAAGGTAACTACGGGCTGCGCGGTCCTTCACAAAGGACTATGCGGCCCTCTATAAATTTGCAAATTCTCGCGGAAAGTCCGCCAGAATGGGGCCACTGTGTCGAAATTAATCTATAGGAAAACCGCGATTGTTCTCCGAGCATTCTTCTAAAATTTAATCAAAATTCTTCAAAAAATCTGCAAAGGGACCAGAAGAAATCAGCGGACTATTTTTCCGGTGTCCGCTTGCCCATAAATCGTATGCCCGCCTGCCCCCGGCGTTTATCTGAGCAAGTGAATGAAGAATAGGTTCGATTAGCTTCGTTGTAGATAAAAATGTCGAAAATTTAATAATCAAAATAAGGGCGGACACGACAATCCTAGGCACATTTAGGGCTAAGTTTGGACCTCGGTAGCTTTGGAACATCCACTTGATGAGTGGAGGCAATTAACCGCTCGTACCTTCTGAGGCAAACTTCTCGCTTTCAAAGCCAAATTTGCAGCAGGACTTGTGCGGATTACTTAGCCAGCTCCGCTCTGTGAAGCATCAAGATCTTACCGCTTCTTTCCCAGGATTTTCGACCGGGGAGGGCGCGAAAAAAATCAAATGAAGGTGCGTGGCGTTAGTCACGCACTCTGAAAAAATTTTTGGGGCGCTTCTGAAGTTTTTTGCGGACCCATAACCCCTGAAATCTAGAAAAAGGGGGCGTAACGACAGCTACGCCCACAAAAAATTTCTTTGAAGACTAATTCAAATCTTTGAAGTATTTTAAAATTGATTCTGAAAATAATTGCAGGAATAAACAAGCCAATTGCACATTTTCATAACCCATGTAAGTAAATTTCAAAAATTTTACAACCAATACTCTGGGGGGGGGGAGACGTCCCCTCCCTTCGGACCGCCACTGGTGGACATGCTTATGAGAGTGTTCTGCAAGCCAATTTTCAAACGCCACTTTGATCAAAAGTCCAGGTGAAGAAATAAGAGTACAATGTAACCAACCGGGTTCTGGATGTGCAGAAAAATCCATGACTGTGTCTTTGATGGATTGCATTGCTCTTAACACGGATAAATGGCTTGGAAATTGCGGCTTTTTCTCTTCTTCCGTCTCGTCTTGTGTTCGCATGACATCAACTGCGCGCTTTCTGGATTTAGGCCTCAATGACTCTTGTGTCTTCTGCAAAGCTTTTTCAATCCGCTCCCTCATAGATCTCGAGGATTTCTGTGAGATCTCCGCGCTAGAGCGCCTTTCAGATTTCTGTGAAACATCAACTTTAAGAGATTTCTCTTTTTTTTGCGAACGAGTGCTTTTCATAGACCGCTGAGTTTGCGAAACATCCAACTTATGAACTTCTGCCTTCGCTAAACTTTTCCCACGCAAACTATGCGTGACCGCGGTGGCCCTTCTCGAGCTGCCAATATGTTTTTCTGCTCCTTTAGAACTCCGTAACGATTTAGCTAATTGTGAAACCACATCTGTCAGCTTAGCTTGTTTGATGGACTTGTCGCTCTTGTCGCCTTTTCTGCTCCTTGTTGCGGATTGCAGCAGCGACTCCTTCTTGCCATTTGGTTTTTGAGATTCTTTTGATACATTCACCTTTGCTCTTTCTTTGATTTTTATCCCTTTCTTTTCTAGCTCCTGATACAGTGTTTCAATTATTAATTTGAATTTGTATGTGGTCATTCATGATGTTTGACTGCTTACCATTTGCTCATTTTTTGAAATTTCTTCAGGCTTTTCTACCTTGTCAAAATCAATCCTATCAATAAGAACTTCACCCTCAGACATAATTTTCTCTGATTTTTGTCTCATTTTGTTGCTCTTCTTCATTTGTGTAGCCTTCCTTTTTGCCTAGATATAAAGTCAAATGAAGCACAGCTCAGAATTGCTGGGTGCAGGCGGTCCGCAAACTTGCGCTTTTCTGCAAGCGACCAGCAAAACTTTGAGGCGTGGCCAAACCTTCAGCGAGCGGTACTTTCTTCTGCCAGCGGGCAGCAATACAGAATTTTCATCAAACAGTCAGCGCTCGTCAAACAGTTTCATTCAACGAGCGCTAGGAAAACTTTCAGCAGGCGGACTTGTTTCGGGCGTGCGCCAAACGAATGTAACGCTCTACGTAACAACGGTGTCATCGATGGTTCATTTACCCGAATTTGGGGTACTTTCTCTTGCGGGAGGTACCTACGGGCTGTGCGGCCCTCAATAATCTTGCAATACTCGCGGAAAGTCCGCGAGAACTGCGGCCGCTGTGCCGCAACTAATCTATGAAAAAGCCGCAATTGCTCCTCGAGCATTCGTCTAAAATTTCCCCAAAATTCTTCCGAATATCTGTAAGGGACCGCAAGAAATCAGCGAACTATTTTTTCGGTGCCCGCCCGCCCATAAATCGCATGGCCGCCTGCTACCGGAGATTATCTGACAGTGAGAGTGGGTTAACGACATAACTTCACAGAACTACTAATGGCTGAAGCAGTGAAATAGAAAAGTCTGTTAATAAAAAGTCGCTATAGTTCTGGAAGTTTTAAAATAATGGCAAATCAATTCTTGCTTAACAATTTTCACTTTGCTACTACATTCCCTCGTTTTCGGGATATTAATAGACTATGACAAGTTTACTGCATGAGATCATAAAGACGTTGTTTCGTTTCTATGTTCTCTATGTTATGTAGGCGATAGGCAATGACGTCTGGTAATCACTCACCGATGCTGTTTCCTCTCTTAAATTAAGCATTTCCGGTTTTTCTAGAGCTTCGAATATAGCGGCTGTATCTGTAAAAATGAAACACTCATTTTCAAAGCTGTATTCTTTCTTGCTATCTCCTGTAAGGACTAAAGGTTAGACCAGACTTCGCCGCGTTGGAATCGCAGCCCACGCGGGACGTCGCATACGCCACGTATGCCGCTTATGTAATTATGTTCGACAAATGTGAGGTCTTTGCTAAGCTTCACCTCGTCACTTGCTCCGTCGCTATTGCTGCATGTTTTTACTGTAGAAAAATATCCTTCAAATATCAAGTTTGAGGCAAACATCGTATCAAACTCCATGAAATGTGCGGGTCTATGCAGACGAAATCTTACACAAACTCCTGCCATAAGTAAGACACAAACTCAGCTAGTACACAAGTGTCGACCTTATTTTCTTGTTCACCCTGTGGCAGAGCTTTAGATAGAAAACCCTGCTGAGAAGAGCAGATCGGTTAAAATTTGTTTGTGACAATCGCTGTCGAAATGTTACAAGCTATTGTTACTTTTAGCTTTGTACCATTGTAATGAACTTTATACTCAAAACTGTGTTCTTCATCGAGATTATCCGGGACATACTACTAACCCACCCGGCTACAAGGGGATTTTGTACTCATCAATTTCGCAAATTTCGTGGAGTACATACTCGGACAATTGCATCGGAAAGTTCGCGGCCTTAAAGCGGGTTACATGGAGCGCCGCGGCCCCTGAAGTTTGAGCTCCGCACGCCGCGGCCAAAGTTGAAACTGGGAAATAATTATCGGGAGGGTCGCGGCTCAGCCACCTCACTCGGCGGGCCGCGGGCCTTATCAAAGGCCGCACTTCTTACACACACTGTAGGGTAAGGCGCAACCCGCGTGAGGTACGCCGCAGCAATAGGGCTACCCTAAGTGTTCAAGAAGTTGGATATCACTGCTCGGATTTGGTCTTGTCTGACAGAATCGAGTTCTCATGATCGTGAAGTAAACTCCAGCAGGTGGTTGAGTGTTATCGACGACACTAGATGATGTCGACAAATGAGCTAACAAGTTGCTTAGTTTGCAAGTCCGTCATCGTGAAGGACAGACTAAATAGTTCTTCACTCTTCCTAGGTCCTACAAGCATGCTAATCGGGTCAACTATAGGCGCCCAGCGGGCTCTTACAGGATGCGTCGCGGTCACTTATCGGGTCTAATATATGGGTTTACCGGGCAGCTCGCGGCATGGATGATTGGTGGTCGAACAAGCACCCGCGAACTTCCCGATACAATTGTCTGAGTAAAGGTGATTATCTGAGAAAGAAAAGCTCAAGTCATATTTCTTATATTGAAAACAAAAACATGTGCGGTACAGCAAGTAATGAAGTAAAAGCGTGGCAAGGATGACCATACAGCTCAGCGTACGAGGGTTGAGGAGGGAGAAGGGGGAGGGGCTAAAAATGATTCGAGTAGTGCATATCCGAAAATCTTCGAGAACACAGTCTTTCTCAAATATGCTAACCATTGGCGTTTTTGTGAGTTTTGTATGCATATGGCTTTTAGTACAAACATTTTATATCGCCGCGAGCAAAGTTAAGATAAGCAACGTGCAAATCATTTAGTCAAGTTTGCGTAACCTCAACTCAAAAGGATTATGCCTGAAAAAGAAATGCGCATAAAGTATGAAGCAAATTTTACTTAGCTCGCTAATATTCTTTTTTTACCAAGGACACTTTTTTGGAAGCCATCAACTTATAAATCAGCAATAGTTTTGAATTGTTTTTTGCTCATGGTGTTTTCGTCCGCAGTTTTCGACCATTTTCGCAATATTCAAAGGTAGCAGGTGAAATCAAGCAGGCTCCGCCATTGTGCCAGGGGAACGAGGAAGAAGAGCATGTGGATAGCGTTTAGAAGGTTTTTATTTAGGCTGGTTTGTTACGGAGCAATGGGCTTAACGTGACTTATCGATATTACAACTCTAATATAACTCAAGATCATTGTGCAATCAGATTTGCTAGGTGCTCCTCAAAGCGGCCTTAAGTGTCGAAGTAGCAAAATGAGAGGATTGGTGGCGTTAAGTCCAGTGTATACCTTACGCAATTTCACTCGCTGACAATTGTTCATGCAAGGACTGTTCATCGCTAAGCACAAAAGGGCCTTGATCGAACAAGGCTTGATGCGTTTGTGATAATATATACAGAGTGTCCCAAAAAATGTGAACACTGTTTGATTGTTAATAACTTTCCTGCTTTCAAGTCTTTCGCCAAGCTTGAGGCACCATTCTAGAGAGCGATGTTTAACTTAGATTTACAGCACGGACCGAATCGTCGATCGCTCTTCGTTACTGTAGGATTACGGTAGGAATTTCAACAAGGATTTTAGACCATTGGAGGCCTTATTGTCCTTGGAACAAAACCAAACAAGCCAAAAACTTTTATACTATGGTAATGGAAGCCGCTGATTTCGAATATGAACTTTCCACATTACTGTGATGCTTCTTTCCAAGGTTATCCCAGCAAAACCGTAATAATGAATTTCCAGCATTTGTCAAAAATGTGACTACACCGTCAAAAAGGCTAAAAACACTCGTAGAAAGTTGTGTAATGGAATCAGCGTGCGCGAAAACCATAGTAGACGATTTTTTAGATTTGTTGAAAAAAATTTGTCCAATGGCATATTTCATAATATATCCACATGCTAGAAGCTCATACAGTAATCCTACAGTAACCAAGAGCGATCGGTGATTCGCTTCATACTGCAAATCTGAGTTGAACCTCGCTCTACAGTATGGTGCTTCAAGCTCGGCGAAAGACATGAAAGCAACGGAGTTATTAACGATCAAAGAGTGTTCACATTTTTTTGGGACACCCGGTATAAGCAGCCACGCGCCAGTGGCGGTCGCAGGATTCCCGTTCGAGGGGCGGAGACGCGGCAAATTTTTTTTCAAATGAAGATGTGAAGATGCAAAGCTTTGGCCACGCATGCCGGAAAATTTTTTGAGGTGATTCCCAAAAATTGTTAGGGCCCACGACACCCTAGATTCTAGAAAAAGGGCTGGCGCCACGCCCCCGAAATTTTTTTTGCAAGGCTAATTCAAATTTTTAAAAAATTTTAAAAATTACTTTGATTGTTAGGTGGGTCCGAAAATTCGTGCCGTTTTTTAGACCTTCCTCAAATCATTCAGAATAAAGATAGACAAACATTCTAAGAAGTGTTCTATGCAGAATTTCTTCCTCTTTCCAGCAATGATGTCTCTGTTCATATTCCTTCAATGTTTGCTTGAAAAAATCTTCAGCTTCAAAACATGATTTTTCATACTTTAACTTCTGCTAGTTTTTCAAATTTTCGCTTTGGACTTCTGGAAATGCTTCAACAACAGCTTGATAGAGTAACAGTGCAAAGCAATACAATTATATCGATAGTTGGCTTTTAGTTTTCTATAATTATCGTTTCATGCTACCAAATTTGATATCTGCTAATCTCAGACCTCGTAGAACATCAAACGGCAAACAGCTAGGGTGTCATGCAGCTTTTACTCCTTTTTTTGACGCAGTTTTTCTGATTAATACGAAGAGGCCCCAAGGAAAAATGCCTTACTTCTAGTTTTTTTTCTAATGTCCCAGGCTGCACCCAAAATTTCAAAAATCAACATTTCCAGCCTTTAGAAACTCGTTTGTTCAGATAAGTGTTTAATCATAATAGATTTTTGAAAGTTTCAATTTGCGAAGATCAGTGTTTGAGGCGTATATCCTACGACTTCGCACATGTGAAGACCTTTGGAAAAATGGTTTTAAAACTACTGAAAAACCAGCTATCGATATAAAAAATGGGTTTGTAGGTAGCCTTTGTTTGGACTATCCAACTGTTATCAAAGCTCTTTCAGAAGTCCAAAACGAAAACTTCAAAAAATAGCTAAAGTTGAGGTACGTAAAATGCATAGATCAAAGTTTGTGGCGATTTTTAAAGAGCATTCGAGACATCCGAACAAGGCATCACTGCTGAAAAGAGAAAGTTCTGCATGAAACGACGCTCAGATTATTCGTCTATCGTTATTCTGAATGACTTGTGCATAGCAGTGGCGTACCCAGGATTTCCGCTCGGGGGGGGGGGGGACAAAATTTTTTTTGACTGAAGGTGCGTGGCGCTAGCCACGCACTCCGAAAAAATTTTAGGGGTGCTTCTCAAAATTTTTGCGGGTCCCCCAACCCCTAAAATTTGAAAAAAGGGCGCGCGGCGCCAGCCACGCCCCCAAAAAATTTTTTTACAAGACTAATTTGAATTTTTAAAAATTTTTAAAAATTATTTTAATTATTTACAAAAATAAGCAAGTCGTTTGCACATTTTTATAACCCATATAAGTTACTTTCAAAAATTTCGCGACCCATTCTCGGGGGGGGGGGCGCGCCCCCCCCCCCTCGGTACGCCACTGGTGCATAGGTCTAAAATACGGCACGAGCTTTTGGACCCATCTAATGTTTGCAAGAATGAACAAGTCGCTTGCACATTTTTTCGACCCATGTAAGTGAATTTCAAAAATTGCGACCTATTCTCGGGAGGGGGTGGGGGGCGGGAAGACAAAAGACATACTATAACGTTATCGCGAATATCCCCCCTCCGCCTCAGTCCGCCACTGCCACGCACGTATGCATCGAGACCCCAAACTCACTTGCTATGACCTTACAGTGAGCCTTTCCTTACATTTGTCCTTAGTACGTTACACATTCGCTCATGATCTTGAAACAGACTCATGACGTGTTCTCGTAAGTTTGCTTATTCAGCAAACATTACGAAAAGGCCTCAATTGACCATGGATCGACGCATTCTACAGACTATTATGTACAGAAGAACGCGTTAATACTTCCACCAGAAAGGCGAAAAGTGCAGACAAATTCACAAGCTTGCATAACTTAGCTGCATATCTGTAAGTAAGCTGTAAGACCTGGAATGCAAAATGATAGTTCAGTAAAAGCAATTGCAAAGCTTCCATAAGCGATGTTCACGGCCATCCAGAGTTTCGCTATCTTAAGAGAGTTATCTTATATATAAAGCTGAATGTCTGTTTGTATGTCT